ACCCATTCCATAAGCTTGGACTAATTCGCGAGACAGATCTTTTGAGTCTAATTAAGCCATGATTTTGACAATGTGATGCTACAGTAAACTTTTGATAATTATGGATTAATTAGGCTTAAAAAAAATCGTCTCGCGGATTAGCTCTTATTTATGAAATTAGTTTTTTTATTAGTTTATATTTAATACTCTAAATTAGCGTCCAAACATCCGATATGACATGGGCTAAAAAGTTTTAACCCCATCTAAACACCCCCTGATCGATGTGTTGGAGCACCTGCTTAAATCGATCTGGTCGACACCACTTTACCGGTGATTCAATCTCACCGAATTGATTTCTGCGACGATGACGACGCGTTGCTGCTGCGGCCGATTCTCCGTGACGTGCGCTGCTGCTCCTTCCCCGGCGGCGTCGACGACGAGGCCAATCCGATCGATATATACTCCGATCCGAAAAATCACACCGGTGGCTGTGTGACGTAGATCGATCTCCAATGTTCTGATACCACTTGTTATAAAAATAGATGCACAACGGAGACACGAATTTTACGTGGAAAACCTTTACGGGAAAAAACCACGGGCTCCGATCGACAATGATCACTGTAGAGGAATTAGATACAAACGTAGGTGATACATTGGGCTGTCGCACCCTCCCCGTGCGGCTTACAAGGGATATATATAGGAGAAAACTAGGAGTCCTAATAGGAAACTAATCCTATAAAGTAGAGTCCTATTAGATAACCAATCCAAATATATTGTGGGCCCAAAATTCGGATCAAATATTTAACACAAGCAAACGGCGGTGGCGACCACAGCGACTTGGGTCCGGGCTTGGATCCTTGTCGAATACCTGTTTTCTTTTTCCACCTCTCTATTTTCTAACTGCTAGAACTTTTCTATCCACTTGTATCCTTGCCATCTCCATCCCACCCTCAATTGTTGCACTAGATATTGTTGTTTGAAAATATTGTGAATCGGGTTGTTAACACCAACCTGCGCTCTGCAAGACTGCAACTGCAACCACCACCATGTTAAGTCAGCGGCAGCGAGCTGAGTGCTAAGATGGGACCGACCGGCGGAGGGATGCGGGCCGGCTGGGTGGGCCGCCGTGAGTTTTTTGTGGAATAAGTTTGAGTCACATCCCTAAAAACCGGGTAGAACACATCCCTCATAATTTAAAACCGATGCAAGTGTAGTCCTAAAGCAGAATCAAAGGCGGTTTTGGGTGATGTGACGTTAACATGGCACAATAAGCAAAAATAAAATAAATAAATGAAACAACAATCTTCTTTCTTATCCCCCGTCACTTTGTTTTATTTGGTGGAGACTGGATGCAAACGGACAAAATGATAACAAAGAAGATTGATGTTTCACTTATATGTAGGTTTCATGTTTTTTTATTATTGTTTTGCTTATTGAGCCACGCCAGCATCACTTCACCCAAAATCGTTTTCAATAATGTTTGTCTCGGTTTTGTGTTTTCGTGATGTGATTTAAATTCGAGTACTCGACGTCAAGGTAAGGGATCTAATGTGGACTTACTCCGTTTTTTTGTTGGGAGTTTGTTTGTGATCGAGAAGTAAAAGCCCAAGCACGTGTTAATCCTGGGCAGCTGAGCTCCTGGCACTGAACAGCCCCTCCTTTTGGGATTCGATTTTGGCCTTTTATAATGTCCATGCTTTTCTGGGCCTGTTTGGCAAGTTGGTTATGACGACTGCGGCTGCGGTGTGGTTGGCACTGTTGGTGTCGGCTGAGCCCCAGCCACAAAACATGCAGCCAAATATATCCCATATAATTATATACTGATTGGAGGGCAAAGCAAATGACATGGAAGGAAAATGAAGGGTTCTGGATGATACTCCTATATAAAGTATTTTCTCTTCATAAGTGCTGGGGCGCAAATATACACGTATTTTCCTCCTGGGTTATTTTGCTCGCTGCTTATTACTATGTTACTGTTTGTGCATAGACAGTACATGAGTTGGGATCCTCTATATCACAGGTTGTAATGTAGAGGATCTATAATATCCAGCATTACGGGAAATGGAGACCGTCCGATAACTGTCAGATGGATCAAATCGTACGCTACAATAAATCTTCTATGGTACTCAACAATGTTCTACAATATTTTCGTTACTGCTGCTATAGTGGATCAATATTGTTCATTGCATTGATTTAATATGCTCCTTACATGAATAGAGCACCTTTGTATTACTGCGGACTATCCGGATCCACGGTTCATTCTTAGATGAATTCTTTAATTAGGCTCCATCTATGACAGAGGTTTTTTTTCCCATTTTCATGCAAGACTTAAAATGTCTCTATCTCTATTCAGCCTATCACGTAGTATCAAGATTATGACAAAAGAAGCCACCATATTTGGCATTAAGTCATAAATATACTACGGATTAACAAGGAAAAAATATATAAATATCGATGAATTTGCATCGTCTCATTATACTTATAATGGCTTGTCAGCTAAAAAATATAAGGGTAAAACTTTTATATATGCATCCTTAGTAATTAAAAATCAAATACTGACAAATAAGTTATGATAAGAAAACACTAAAATCAACTTAAAATTAAGTTTTTTTTTTCTATCTTTGTAAGCTAGATGATGAAGGGTAAACCTTAGACTCATTTGGTTCAGTGTCAAATTTTGCCCTATCAATATTTATTTTGATAGTGTCAAAACCTTGACAAGTTTTAATGCATTAAAATTGGTGGCATAGAGTTTATTATAGTGTGGACAAAATTTAGTTATGAACAAAACATGTATAAGATACCATTGGAGTTGCCAATAATTTAGCATGGGAAAATTAATCTCAATCCAAACATGCCCTTTATAATTACATTAGAAAAAATACCAGTGCATTGCAACGGGTGAATGCTATTTTAATTTTATTATTATTATATGTTTTAGTTAAAGTGAAATTCACTGTGGGAATTCGTTTGGATATATTATTTTTAGAAAATCATGAAATGTAGTTAGGAGATTGATCATATCAAGTTAGCATGCGGGTTTTTTTAAAGAAATTTCTTTTACGACTACTTCTGTATTTTCAAAAGCGAACGAACTAAAGAACTGACTCAAATACGGATACGTGTTTCCAAAAATGAACAAAGTTAAAAACCGTCTCGTACATAGATGACGTTCCAAAATATCGATAAAAATATCTTCAATTTTTATAATAGTAGAGATATGAACTAAAATTTTATTTATATATGGGTTGCTCTGTTAAGCGTATAGTAATACGCGACGTGAGCCGTCTGATGACTCTACGTCTATGGGTGAAGACACATGATATAAGAGCCTGTTTGAATATTTGATTGTTGCTTAGCAGTGCTCCAATTCAATTTGCCATAGCGTGGCATGACAAATAAATTATGGCCAATAATTTGTTTGGCAACATGTGTGGTAATATTTGGTTGGAGAATGAGTATATGACATGTAATCCCAAGAAGTAAAAAAGTGTAGTTTGTCACGACTAAAATAAGCAACTAAACACTAAGCTAATAAACCGTGACATGTCTAACATGTGGTGTGGCAATATGTGAAACTCAACCAAACAACTCCTAAATCTCTCGAGGGCTCCACTGGTCTAAGGGGTGGGGGAACCCAGCTACTCCCTCCGTCCCATAGAAAACCAAACTATACCGGATGTGACACATATTATTATTACGAATATAGATATACATCGGTTCAGATTCATAATACTATCCACAAAATTTGCTACAGGACACCTAAAAGTTATGTCTGATAGACATGGAAAAAACATGTCATAGTTAAAAGACATCCTAAAAATTGGTGATTTGTTAGAGGACACTTTTGACTCAATTGAAAAGAGAAATTCTTTAGAAAGACAAAAATGCTCGTAGAATCACATGCTTCAAACACAACGTAAGAGTAAAAAATTTAAAACTATGCAACTCTAAATTTACCATCACCTTAAGTACATCACTAGTATACACCTTTCGTCCCCAAAAAATTCAATCCTATCTATGAACCTGGACACACACGTGTCCAGATTCATAGCTAGAGTGTCTTTTTTTGGACAGAAAAGTACATCATATTTCATCTTCACTCTAATCTCAGCTCAAATCTTTTGACCATATAGGCAATCTCGTCTTTTTCAGCCAAAGTGTCCTACAACAAATTGCTACTAATTTTGTAGAGTGTCTTTTAACCGTGATACTTTTTACGATATCTATCAGCAAATTACACAGAATTTGAATATCCTAGAGTAAATTTTGCCTACTATATGTCATATTCAATTCGTTTGATGGAGGAGTATGTTAGCTCGTTTCTACTGTCTACTAGATTGGGCATAATTTTGAGGTGCCTATAAATCGGGCGTCTTTTTTTTTACTTGTTTTTTTAAAATCGGGCGCTGTTCTACCAAGTAGATCGGAATTGTTTCACTAAGTAGATAAAAAAAATGTTCCAATCGTTTAAAAAGCTGAAACACAACCAAATCACCTTATGGAACATTTTGCTACAACGTATAAACAAATGGTTTCCAGAAAATCGAGTGTTGTTTCACCATATATAAAAATAATGTTTCAGTAAATAGCGAAAGGATGTTTCAATTCACTGCAACATTTGGTCTATAAATAGTGAAACATCAGGAGTACACTTGCTTGAATATTGTTGGTGAAATAAAAATTGAAATGGATTTCCTTAATATAGTGTTTCCGTAATATGTGGGTGATTTGTTTCAACGGCGCATGTGGTGGGGATGGCCCAATCGCTGGCATTTTCCGCATCATTTACTATGTTTTGTGAGATTATTTTTTGTTAGTGATATTGATACATAAATGCATGAGTTATCTTGCCTTTATAGTAATAATTGATCTCTAGTTTAAATCTTTTCTTATATAGGTACACTAAATTATTACTACTATATGATTTGTAGAAAAATTTCATACTGCAATAATGTTCCGCCCTGACGCCCTCCCTCTTCCACCTCCGTCCTCTTCCACCGCCGGCCTCTCCTCCCCCACCCCTTCTCCGCCGCCGTCCCCTCCTCGAGCGACGTCGCCATCCCCTCCTCGACTCCTCGTCGCCGGAAGCCTCACCGACCTCTCCTCCCTCCGTTGTCCGTTCCTCGTCCTCACTGGAAGGGTCATATTGAAATTCTATACCAGCCTGACGCATTTATTATCGCGTGAAATTCGGAACCTTCCAAATTCCACCCCTTTTAACCTGACCCCCCTTCATTAACAGTTTAACTTTTTCACCCTGGCTGCATTTTACTGTGCGTGACTGGCGACGTCTCGAATTCCCCGACATCCATGTCTCCATCCCCACTACTCGCCATCCTCCTCACAAAACCCTCCTCTGTTCGCTCGATCGCCGGAAGCCTCCGCCGTGCGCCGCCGCGTGCCGGCGTCGATGGCCATGTCCGATGGGGCGATCCCCCTCGGCTGTAAACGGGCGATGGCCGCCAAATCCCAACCGGCGGAGGCGGCGGAGCTCGTGGGCTCATCCTCTCCGGCCGTGACGCCGCCGCCGCCTCCGACGGAGACGCGGGCCTCCGACGATGGCGATTCGGAGGGCGATGACGAGGCTGCGACCGACTTTGAGAGAATCACCGATCACCAGCTGCAGGAGTCGATCAAGCGGACGCGCCACTCGCTGGGGCTGTGCGCCAGGCTGCGTGACGGCGGTGTGAAGTTTTTGAGGAGAATCCGCCGCATGGAGAAGGAGCTTGATCGCCGCCGGGCCGCCGGGCTAAGGAAGGTGAGTGAAATGTGGGTTTTTAGCAATCGTTCTGGGTGGAGAAGGGAGGCTGAAGGTTTTTGGAACTATGTGTATCGCCTTTTTTTTATTATTATTTCTTCTAGGTTTCATGACCCGTGGATTTTTTTTTCTTGCGAGGCTATTGCTGTGTTTGGTTCACACCAAAATTAGAATTTTGATTGAAATTAGAACCATGTGACGGAAAATTTGGAAGTTTATGTGTGTAGAAAAGTTTTGATGTGATGGAAAAGTTGGAAGTATGAAGAAAAATATTGCAGCTAAACACGGCCTATGTGTGGGTTAGGAATTTTGAGGAATGAAGGAGCGTGCAGATTTATGATGTGTCATAAATTTATCTCGGATTTTAGATTTAGTGAGGTTCTGGGTAAAAATGAATTGTTTTCTACTACTACTGATTACTGAAAAAAAAAGTTCTCTTTGTTTAGAATGGGAAGAGTACGGCTAGCACGTTAATAAACGTATAAATTGAAATCCTATAAATGTCGAGCACTATGCTCCGAACCATTTCCATGAATTGTTACAGTCTGCTGCTAAATTAATTTGCTAGGATATTTGATCATATAGAAATGGGTGTTGCGGAGCCCGGTTATTTTAGCTGCCGACCCATGTTTATTTTTCTTTTCTGACTGGTACTTCTACTGGCTTTCAGTAATGAATTTCTGAATTTAAAAATTGATAGTTGTTAATAACTTTATGTGATGTGCAATGGAAGGGGTTGTCAAATAATTGTCAAATATAGGATGCCTTATATCGTGGGATGGAGGGAGATTATTCAATAGCGTTGATGAGTTCATGAGGGCCACTATATAAGTTGTCAAATAGTTACTCCCTCCTTTTCACAATGTAATGACTTACATCGTGAAACGGAGGAAGTATTTGTTAACGACTTGCAGATTTTCTCTCTTCTCTTTTGTATTCAATTAGAGAAATCATATAATTTTTGGCTTTTGACCTTGAGAAGCCAGAAGCGCCAAGTGATTAAGAATTAGTTCAATTTGTTCCTTGGAAAATTTTGCACAGCATCATTTCTTTGTAATGTGAGCTATTGTGTTTACAACAGGGATGGACAATACAGTAACAAGTAAAAAAAAGGAAACATTTTTCCACACTATTCTTTTCTTTCCTGTTGACAATATAGTAACAAGTAAAAAAAAAGAAACATTTTTCCACACTATTCTTTTCTTTCCTGTTCCCTAGAGTGCTATCACCCTAATGTATCATATTCATAAGCATATTTTGTCCATGTCCTGGGTTAAGTTTTTTTTCTTAAATTATTGTAGGGTGTCATAACTTGGAGGCCGACAGTGAAATCTCCTAGCCAGGATGATTCCCATGCCTTTAGTAAGCACTACATATTCATTTGTTGTTTATGCATAATCACATATCATTAGTCACGATTCACGGAATACACATCCTGATCTGCTTTCTTTTACTTATCAATCAGTTTGATTATTTATGGTCTTAGATGATAAATGTTGAAATCAGCACATAGCTTCGTCGTGAGTCTGATCTAGATGTATTGCACACAGAGAAATTAAGATTCATAGCAGTACGTAGGAGTTAAATGGTATTAAATTTCAAAACGAAGGTAGGAATTCTCATTGTAGAGCTCATGGAAAAGCTCCACTGGACAATGTACAGATGTATATCTTCCTACTGCCTCTTGAGGGAGAGCATAGGTGTTTCAGACTCTAGGCACTTAATTATTGAGACAGTTTCTGTGCATGATCAGCAAGCCACCCACTGAACCAAATGCATGAACTTCTGGCTTACTTTGTTTGGTCAATGACACGAGTTGCACATCACTGTTGGAGACTTGGATCTTATCTTTGTGTACCTGACTGTTAATCCTCTTTTGTAGAGGATGGTGACAAGCTCAACTGGGTAAATACTTCTAGCAAACACCACCAAAATGTACCTATTACTCCTACAACGAATTATGGACAGGTGTGCCTTTTTTATGTCCCTTTTTCTAATGGCACATTTTTTTGTGATTAAAATCTACGTGATATTGTGAATACTCTTCCTTGTTATATGCAGGCTGAGGATTCAGCATTTTTCAAAGAACTAAGTTATTTTGGCCGAGAAAAACACGCAAGCCTTAAGAAAGTTGAGCAAAGCTCAAGAACTACAGTGAGTCATCAACCGAAAAATCATGCAGTTTGTCCAAAGCGAGCTGATGATAAACAATTGCACATGGACAATAAGATTATTGTCAACAAAAGGAAGTTAGGTTCGAAGAGCTGTCTCAGAAAAAGACCGAAAAACAACTCTTTTGATTCAAACGGCATGTATGATAAACTACATACAAAAGATGTCACTTTGGGGAGATCAACTAAGAGGTATGCACTCCTTTTTGTTGATCTACTTGAATTTATTCCTTTTTCCTTTTTCTACTTTTAGTATGCCACCCCTTGTTTAGTAATCCATTTGCGTTGCTTTTCCAACTGCAGACTTTTTACATTGTCCTTGATGTACATCATTACAACTTATGCTGCGGTTTAGATTGTTGCATCTTTCATATTGTTGGTCATTTTGCAAATAACAAATTTTCTATCTGTTTGCTCCCATGGTTCCTGTCAGCTGCACAATTTTTGTTCCCATCTAGCAGGAAATTACTGAAAGATGTTGAAAACACTGTTTTCTCAAACTAACTATATCTCTATTGTCTAATACACACATGAAACTCTTGATAGAAATAATTTGCTATTCTTTCCATGTGCATGTCTTATGCTTTGATTCAGTAGATGACTAGATGTTGAGACTTTGTTTTGTCTGTCTTCGATGGGTATTGTCACTGGAGACTTCAACGTTACAGTCCATCTAGCTACACTAGTAGGCACATTAAGTGCATTCATATCTAATAATGTTTTATATTTTGTATTGTGCACGGTTTGTATTAACTGCTATTCGCCTAGTCAGGCAAATAGTTTGGCAGTGGTACTGTAAGTTATTACCTTACTTTCCTTGGTTTCCTCATAGCCAGTGATTTCAATCGGCTTGATGGAGTTTATAAAAGTATGACAGTAAGCCTGTCTTATCTTTTCTAATTTTTAGGAAGAATGAAATTGCATCTTGATAGTTCTTTGATCTATATCTTGTAGTGTCTGAAACCAATAAATGTAGTTATTGCTAACCATCTTTATTCTCATGAAGCTATATCATCTCAATTATTTAAAGCCAAGCCGCCTAGCTACTAAGCACCTCATGTTTTACATTTTGTCATGCAAATTTCCCCCAGTTCAAACCGATTTATGTTTCTCATACCGAAAATGGTTCTGATGTGCAGGTGGGAGCATACTAAGAATCACATCACTGAGTTCAGGGGCCTATTTGATTCTAAAGAAAGAAATAAAAAGAAGGTGAGCCACGGTGACGGTTATTATTACATTTTTTTCTTACATTGTTATGGTACTTTCCCATTTGTTCCATGTTAAATCTGTTATGTTGACATTGGATGTGATGATTCGTTCTACACGCCAGTCCCTCTTCCAACTGTTCACATAAAAATGTCCCATGTCAACATATGAAGTCCTAATCCTCTCCTTGGATATCTGATCCCCCCCCTCCCCCGGCAACCTACATGCACATACAAATCATATCTAATTTGGAAATACACATTGATTTCTCTTACAACATTATGTTTGTAACGAAATAACCATGATCACATGTAAATGCTTTCAAACATGAATCTAACAGTTCCAGGACTCATCATTGGTCATTAATCACCAAATTTGAATCTTGAAATACACATGAGACATATAAAAATCAACAGAGGGAGTACTCAACATGATCCAGTACAAATAATCAATTTCTTCTGCAGAGCCTCGGTACACTGCCAGTACAAACAAAAATTGCAACATGCACATTTGACTTAATAAGTTGTAGTCGTATTATTTTGTGCAAACAGGTTCTCTGTTATTTTACCTACCATTTTTATTTTATTGAACAAGAATTCAATGTTCTTAGATCCTTGAGGTTAATAAAATAAAATTAAAACCCTAGACATATCACATCTTGGGCACCAACTCATGTACGATTGATTGGAATTTAATTTTCTAAGATGATCTCCAAGATTTCCAGTGATGCAACGATTCTACATCATCACTAATTTTGTTGATATTGTCTATTCAAATTGTTGACACAAATAATTGCTCCATGCGTATTTCAATTATGTTCTTATATGTTTTTAGGATGTGGTTCTCTTGGATGATGAAGATATGGAACCTGCTAAATCAATTAATGTTGAAATGGCTCATAAATGGTAAGGCAATAGTGATGATGTCTTTTGCCTATTAAAGTTTCTTTGCCATTAATTTTTTAGACATGATCAATTATAGATATTATTTCATTAATCAAATCACACTTGTGTAGGGATGAGTCAAAGATTTACTATCCTTCAAGGTGAGAATCATGTATTGTCATTGAGGTACCGGGAGGAGAGAGAGATTTCTCCCTTCTAAGCTGATATCTTTGCTTCTGTCAACAGGACTGATCTCGAAACTTTTGAGCTGATCTGCTCTGATATAGAATGCCTTGAGCCTGAAGAATATTTGAAATCACCTGTTATAAACTTTTATATGCAGTAAGTAATATTTTTCTGCTCTGCAATCACTTTATCTCCATGTTCAACCTACAAGTGATTGCATAGGTCCCTGTAGCTGTTAAAAATAAATCTTCATGGATGTGATTGAGCTGCATTTATTTTAAGGTTTCAGTTCATTTCTAATATTGCTTGGACTAGTCAACTTTGAATTGCTACTTTAATGGTTCTGAGTATTATGTTAGAATAGAAAAGTATGCTTGCTCATGTATTCACAATATTAGTGGTCCTTATTGCTCATGAATGCATTGTCTGAGGCTGAAAGGAATATTTGGTGTGCAAAGGTGCAAAATTGTGTCCAGTAGACTGGTTCATGACTTGTCAATATATCTCACTTTTGCTATGGGGTGTATCATTGTAGATTTGTCAAAATTCAGTACTTTGTTGTAGGCTTGAACTGTCCACTCTGATTATGGTCATTTCAGGTACCTCAGGAAATCTAGAACATGTGGAGACTTGTACATTTTCAATACATATTTCTATAGCAAACTTGAAGAAGTACTATCCAGGATGGTATGCTCTTTAATCTTTCTGTGATATATTTGTGATGTTCAACACCACTTATCAATACCCTTCTGTGACCCGAATTTATACTTCAATTGGTGCATGAGTTTACATACCACATAAACACTTGTGAATTTCTTGGTATGGTGCGATGTGTTCTGCTGTTGAGCAGTTATGTCATAGTGTCGTTTAGTTCATATTTGTGTTATCTTGCCTTATAAATATAGAAGCTTCAATCTATTAATATTGTTAAGAGAGGGTGAAAAGGAGTCACCACATTATCTAATGGTCTGGTGCATGTTGAGCCTGGACGTATATTGTAGGATGAAGGGAGTAGTGAGCAAAATATTGAATATATTCACACAAATCATGTTGACCAAACAATTAACTTCTTTAATCATTATCTTCAGACATGAATCACGTTGACTGCACAATTTATTTCTTTGTTCATACTCTAGAGACATGGCTTTTCCTAATTGCCAAATAAAATCCTACTTTGAGTTTTGGATATATTGCATAATCACCATTTAGGTCCTTACTATATCTTTTAGGGGACGTTGAATGGGAAACTTGCAAATATTATGGGTTTATGTTCAATTTAATTGCTGTTTGTTACCTTTTGCATGGAGTACTAAAGTAATACCTTACCTTTACTCTTTTACATGCTGGGATTATCTCTTCTTCACCTGCAATGCTAATACCTTCCACTGCTGACTGATTACCTTTTCTAGGGTGACCATGATGATTCACAATTCAGCAAGTTAAGGAGGTGGTGGAAACATATAGATATATTTAGACAACCGTACATAATTCTGCCTATTCATGGAGAGTGAGTTTTTTCTTCTCTGGATAATACTTAGATGAAGCAGAATTTTTTTTTCCCATCTGCTCCTTAGGCAAATGGTTAGCACTTTACATGAGGTTATTTTATGGTTTGTAAGCAATATTCTGATGTATCTAGTTATCATATATGATGTTAATTAGCTTTTTTGTTGTAAATTAGGATGCACTGGAGCTTGATAATTATCTGCATGCCTGCAAAAGAAACAGAATCTGGGCCGATAATACTTCACTTGGACTCTCTAGGACTCCATTCCAGTCGTGAAGTTTTTTATGTTATTGAGAGGTACACAGTCACTCTTGATACATGCTAAGCATTTGGTTTTGATCCCAATCTTATAGGATTAGATAATTGATCCAGGACTGATGCCTGCCGTGCACTTTTCCTGTTGTTATTTTGTAGTTCTAAGTTTCCTACTATTAACCTACTTCAGCCTTCTCCATGAATTTCATTGCAGCTTCCTCATAGCAGAATGGCAACATCTACAGAATGATTCTTCTTATACTATCCCCTTTTCAGGGAGAATATGGAATCATCTATCAAAAAATATAAACAAGGAAAAAGTTCAGGTAAAAAACCTAGTTTTCTAGCAAATATTTGTTCAGAGGACAGCGGTTTGTTGTTTTACAATAATTGCTCTTTAGTCTTTACTGTGTTTCCTGATGTACTCACTCCGTCCCAAAATATAAGCATTTCTAGCTATGAATTTAGACTACTATATATCCAGATTTATAACTAAAAGTTATATTCTGGGACAGAGGTGGTGGTTTTCTAATGGTTGCTTGGCTGCCTTCTATTTTCACATATCCAGGTGCCAAGTCAGCGTAATAAGTATGACTGTGGTATCTTTATGCTTCATTACATTGAGAGGTTTATTCAAGAGGCACCAGAGAGGCTGACAAGAGAGAACCTTTGCATGGTATGTATCAATTTTCCTCCACTATCTTCAGACATGTCTTGAGTCCTGACAATTATGCTCTTGCTGGGTCTTAGTTTGGACGGAAATGGTTCGATCCCAAGGAAACTTCTGGGCTGCGGGACAGAATTCGGGCACTAATGTTTGATGCATTTGAGAGTGCTCGGATGGATGATGAATCGTCGCAGTCCGAGTCACATTCTGATGATCAATCTGGAGATGAAGATAAAGACAGGGATGGAGTCATGGTTGTGGTGATTGACTAACGATGGATGAATGGCACCTAGCTTTACATTATGTGATGGTACAGTTTCAGGCTTTCAGCAATATCGGCTCTCAAATGTCACGCTGTTTATTAGCTGAAAAATGTCTGTGCTGCTCTGGAGACTGTACTAGAAAAGGATGCGCCAGTGGTGCTTAGCGATGCAATTATAAAGTACTACACAACGCACATTTCTTGTAGCCTGGTAGTTTATGGGGTTTCAAGATGAAAGTTTAGCGTTTAGGAGATGTACTTTTGTGCATATTGATAGGAGGGGGATCGAAACCCCGTGCCTAAACGCCTTCTGTACATATGCCCCCCCCCCCCCCCCCTCCTAAACGCCTCAGTGCCTCACATTCTGACTGCATTTTTTTTTCTTGGCTTGATTTTGCAGACATAGCGTGTTTGGTGGAGGAAATTATTAGGGGGATGGGAGTTTGAGAGGTAGGGATTGTTAAGTCTATTCTTTGGTTGAAGGACGTGGAAGTTTTAGGAGAGTTTGGAAAGAAGAGAGTGAACTTCCATCTTTTCAATACCTTCGTAGGGGCATAACTGGATGGGGAATTCCCTTCTATCATCACTTAAAATTCAACTCCCATCCATACTTCACATGATTTCACTTAAAATTCAATTCCCATTCATATTCCCCGTGATTCTCATCTCTATTACCAAACCCATAAAACCAATCCCTTCACTAACTCCCTTTGCACACACCGTTTGATATGTTACCTTAAGGCGTCTTTTTCACCAAATAATACCAAATGTAAAATACCACTGGCAGGAGCATGGTGCATGTCACAATTACATGCCAAGCAAGTTTGCATCAACAGAAAAACTGACATGGTGTAGACTTTGCATTGCTGCTAGGCAATTGGCGTCATATACTCAAGGATACTGTAATCCTATGGCGTCATAAACAAAGATTCTTTTTTGAGGGGTCAAATTGGACGCAAAATGCCGTTAATCAACAGAAACAGGTAAATGCATAATATGTTGCAAAGTTGTGATGAATATGATCGCTTGGACAATCATCTGGCACATGAGGCCATCATAAGTTTTAAGCAGAGAAAAAATTTAGTACAGATTCCATCAGCAAAAATCCCGGGTATTATAGTCCACAAGTCTTGTAACTAATGTTATTGGAACCTGCTGGGGGAAAGGCTAACAGAAAAGTTTCTTGTGTGGTGACCAAAACACCACTCCTGTTATAGAGGTGTTGCAAACCCTGTGATAGCACACCAGGAAAAAAAAACACAACGGGTTAGAACAAAAACAACAGTATCAGATGGCAAAGAAAAGGGGTGCATGACAACATTAGACTGAGACAGACATAAGCAGGTGCTGTGTACCGAAGCTAATATAAGTGGTTTGGTCCAGAACAAAATTTTCTGCTAGCAAGCATATAAAAGACAGGGCTTACAGCAAGTCAGACAGGGGCTTACATAGTTGCACATGTTTCCAGCAGAAATAGTACTGAGAATTCAAGATACTCATACTATAGCATATAGTCCTATAAGATAAAATTGTGCAAGGCTTATGTAAGTGGCGAAATGTACTTAGGAGGACAATCAAGTAAGTGGCGAAATGTGAGAATGCACTGATAACTGTTCTCCAAAAGGAGAACTCTGTCATGAAATGCTCACCAACTGAAAACAAAGACCTTTCTGGTGCTTGAATGAAGATAAAACTTATTCAAGGCATGACAAATATAATGTTGGAAACCTCTGCTTAATCAAATGTTTTTATTGCAAGTAAAAGCAATAGCTGAAGCAAACATTTATCCGAATATATTATGCAATATAAAAAAAGACACGAATATTAGGAAATGGCCTAATATCAAATAATTAGAAGGGGTGAGGCTTCGAACCCAGGTCGTCTAGCCCACCACCTTGTGGAGCTAGCTGGAAGATCCTTGGGCATTTCTCTATACTATGCAATATACACCATGACTTATATTCATTAGAGTTGAAATACACACATGCATTCATAATCCAATTATGACAGCATATGACAGAAACGATGGTGGCATCACTGCATCAGTAACTAAAGATAGGAAAATATGTAAAAGTTGAACTACAATCTTTGACCCAATCTATCAAATAGATCACATAACAGGAGGCAGCAAATTGAACATATCAATTCGAAATTCTATAGATTAGCACATTACACATTCCAGCCAATACAAGAGTTCTGCCTCAGGCATAACCGGATGGTAGTATTATACCACTTTGGCTAATGTGGATTTAAGATGATGGATGGGTGCACCAAAATCAAACCCAACTGAAGGGAACAACATCATGTAATTTTTCAGTTCCTAAATGGACATCATTTTTTCTGATCTAATCCATTACAGCTCCTCTAACAATTTAGCACTGAGATTAAATTAGAAAACGAAGTTGCGCATGTTTACCTTCTGAGAGCCAACCCCAAGATCCGGGCTTAAGCCCGAGCATGGAGGTGAGCAAAGCCGACGCAGTGGCGCTGTGCAGCGGCATCAACCCATGCGCGCCGCCGAGCGCCTCCACCGGGACCCTGCATCGACGACCGCGCCGAATCTGAGCAAACCAAACCGTCCTAGGGGACTGACGGGGAACTAATCGACGGAATAGTAATACCTCGAGATCGCGGGGCGCCGGCGAGTGGAGCGAGGCAGAGAGAAGGCCGCGAGCTCAGGGGAACGAGCCGCCGCCGCAGCCGGCGCCGGCTGGGAGAAGGCCCTGGAAGAGGAAGCCGAGCGCAGCCCCGCGAGGGCCCGCCGCGCGCCGCCAGCCGCCGTCGCCATGGCTGGTTTGGAGTTTGGACGGGGCTCTAAACCTCTCTTGCCCTTCTTGGGCTTTCCTTGCTTGCGGATTGACGCTGGGTTCAGGTTATGTGGACTGGGTCTACAGGAGTAGCTGTGGACTACAGTGTCTATGTATTCTCTCATCTTTGAAGAATGAAACGAATAGAGAAATGTTTTGAGTTTCAATTAAACTCTTCGAAACATTTCATCAATCGGATTTGGTTCAACAGCTCATTCAGTCAACATTTATATTTTCGTTCGCATATTGTGAGATTAAATCCATCCTAAGGAAGTGTTTGAGAGAAGGGGAAAGGGAAAGATCGAGAAAATAAGTAAAACAAGATGATTTATTAGCGCATGATTAATTAAGTATTATAATTTAAAAATGGATTAATATAAGTTTTAAAACAACTTTTGCAATCTAAAAGTATGTGTGCGAAAAATGACGTAGACATTTTCTCTCCGTTTATTCCTTTCTATCATATCCTCCATCCACGAAATAGCGTGTGGTGAGAGAAAATGTAGCTCTAGAGGATACGCCATCCAAGCATGCAAAGATATCACATGCGCTATCCTAGAGAGATCCTTGCGCCATCCCACAACTGGCATCCCCATCCAGTTCTTTTCCCCTCCCCCCCCCCAATCGGGATCAATCCATGGAGGGTGAAGGTAGAGCGGAGAGAGGATGCACCAGTGGCCACCTTCGCTGGCCACTCCCGCCGTCGGCCACCTGTGCCCGCCGCCGCCACTTCACCCAGCTCGCTCGTGTCGCTCCTCCGCCAATGCAGCCCCATAGCCCGGCCGCTCGCTCTGTTGCTTCACCCGTGCCGCCCCTCTGCCCAACGCCGCCCCTCCACCCGCGTCGTCCCACTAGTCAGCCCTCCTCATCCTCCCCGCCCTCTCGGCAGTGGACATAGAAGAGAGAAAGAGAAAAGGTGAGGAAGTTTTTTTTAAGAGTGGTGAAAGGTGAGGAAGTTAATATAAATGCATGGTAGTTGAAAGATATCAATAAAATATAGGATATTGGCATATGGATGATCGTTTGGAATTTGTTGAGTGAAAAGTAATATGGAGTAGAAATCGTTTTAGATGACCATCTAAATTGGAATATGGAGGATAAAATTTGGATAAACTGCTAGGATGCTCTAAGGCCCATTCAATTCAGATTTTGGTTGCGGGGTTTTCATAAGTATGCTTTTTAAACTACTAAACCGATTTTAAGAAAATTTTCTATATAAAAGTTTTTTTAAAAGTAAACAAATCTATTTTTAAATTTATAATAATTAATATTTAATTATTTGTTCGCTAATTATAAGCTTCTCTCATAAGCCATGGGCTCATGATCCCAAACCCCACTATATAGAACGGGGCCAATTAGCTATTGAAGGTAGATTGCGCATCTAAAGTAATGAAAGAAACAATATTTCTTGAAAGGACATTGGGCCACGTAAGGTGAAAAACAATGACCATTGGATGAATGTTTCGATGAAAGATGGCCGTCTGATCATTAACATACATGCGGTAAAAAAATGCACTAGCCACTTCCCTCCGGATCCTTCTATGTCTCCCCTCAGACATGTGGCAAGCAAGGAAAAATTACTCCATGAAAAATAGAAAATGGGCTATTGGTTTGCATGGCAATTAATTGGCATAATTTAATGGACTGCACTAAGATCAATTTTGAGACATCAAATAAGTAAAATAAACATGAGCGGTTGTTGTGAAAAAATATATAGGAATACATATTACGGTAGTACTGTATGTAACTTATGGACTACTTTAACAATAAGGAAAAAGACCACTATAATTATAAGGAAAAAAACAATCTTAAGATATTTTAACAAAAATGGCATCTTACACGCGACTCTGAGTAGTGAAAGGATTAATCTTTCTCACCACCACAATTTGCCACGTCATCAAAATAATCAGAGCCGTTGGATGCAACATGTATTCAATAGATAACGTCGGATCTAGAGCGAGGATGGGACAGTAAAAGATGACTCATGTCAAGGTTCAGGATTCAGGAGTCTTCGGAAAGGATCTAGAGAAAGGAAGCAGACCTATAGTCAAATGGACAAAAAAAAAAGTCACGTACTAAGCTTCCTGGTATTAGATATAGACCATAGCTATTGGGATTACACATGATGTAATTAGATCAGCAAGGAAGTTAGTCAATTTAAGTGTTTTTAAGGCATTAGCTTGACACTGGTTATTTTATGATTGAGAGTAAAATATTTGAAAATATGAAAAAAAAACTATTGCAATGCAATAACATGATTAACAAAAATAGAATAGGACATATAAACAAAGATAAAAGATAGGAGGATCAAAATTATATTGAATAAAAGAAGAAACATATACATTCAAGCAAATTATGATTCAAGTGGAAAAACATGATTAAATTTGTAATCTGAATGCCCATTGAAAATTACCTACGGTAACAGATAATTTATATGCGAGTTTCTAAATTATGAAAGATTCACGCAATTACCACTCTAGACTGATTGCTTTTCTTAATACCACTTTCAATCATTTACCAAATAGAAAAAATGGTTTTAAGATATTAAACATGTCAACAGATGTATATTAATATTATTTCTCAATCATTTACAAACAAAAAAAATTGAAAACCCATTCATAATACATTCATGGCATTGTGGTACATTTCTTTCAATTGATTATAAATAACCTTAAACATGTGATTCTTTTGTAAAATTTATATACAATAAGTACAAAATTACCTATAAACAAACTCTTAGCTTTGGGGTTTGCAATAAGGTGAGTATAGTAAAAATAAATTTACTATAACAAATAAACTGGTAGGTTATACTAAATGTTGTAAAATTTATTCAACATATGAATGTAAAATTGACGGTAAATATAGAGGGTGTCATGGTCCTTCTTCTTAGTGGCATATGCCATAGTCCATGGATAGAGATTTAAAGAAGTCATGATGGTCGCGCAACGCGTGACAATGTGGCTAGTAGTAAATTGAAGCCGGTTGGAGCCTAGTAACTCTTCTGCTTCCTTCAGAAGTTTTGAAGCCAGTCTTTCTCCACCCAATGATATGCTTGGGCAGTCAGCTACTACTCCTTTTACCTATACACAGATATATCAAACCTCGAGAAAATGCTTTGATCCGAACAAGAGCGTAGACATACCAGCACCAACTCCACTTCCAGGATGGTACATGATTAAAAGTACACAATACAAAACCAAACGAAATTTATGTGTATAGTAATCTCCATCTCATACAACTAAAATCAAAAGTAGCATGTTTCAAAAAGAAAAATCAAAAGTAGCAGTTGTCGAATAACGCAGCTTGGACGTTCAGTGAAATAAAATCAAAAGTAGCAGTTGTCGAATAACGAACATTGGACGTTCAGTGAACTAATGAGTATATGAACCGATCAGAATGCTGTGTTTTCAGCTAAAGCACACACCAGTGTTATTTTTCCTGACAATTGGGATCAGCACAAAAGCATGTTTATAGAACCATTTTGCAGTGACACATACAGCGAATTTAGATGGCCTCCTAGAGAAGAAGTGCCACTGAAAGGCAGCATGTAAGATTGTTCAAGTTCAAACGCTTGATTTCCTGAATAATAAATCACCAAAAGAAAAGCAAAAGAGAATGAGCATTCAAAGAAAAAGCATACATGTGCCTGACATGAAACTAGTGGCTAGCTAAGTGTTAGGCAACAGCCTACCTTCTGGATTTACACAACCTATTGTGGTTTTGTACCTCAAAATTGAACAATGTAGGTTTGCTATATTGTGTTTACCAATAGTCTTTGCAAGAGCATACACCATTCTCAAAATGGTGAAATCTCTTTGCATCCCTTGCAATGATCAAACGACCAACGAGTTTAGAGATTATCTTCAAAGCTGTATGACAATCTCCACATGAGCGTAGATTCTTTATAACCCGAATAGGTGACCGAGCAGCACTAGTTATAAGACCATAACTGACAGCTAGCCTCTCACTATGAGCTAGTAAAGCATCCTCTTTAGTTTCTTGATCAACATCATGAAGCACAAATCGAGTATCTGCAATATAGCCAGCCTCTTTCATATGAGCTGCTAAGTATCTCAGCTCTTCATAGATCTTAAGATGTTCAGGATGGGACCTATCTCCTGCTCTGTATTCATGAACTTTGCTCCTAGCTTCAACAGCATTAGCCTTTTTTCTTTCTTTCTCCTTTGCAAGTTCTGAAGCATCAACAGGGAAAAGACCAATTTTAGACTGGTCATTTAGCCTAGAAGAATCCAATCGCTCTACAATTTGAGCACAGCGATTTCCTAGCTCCAAAAAGCCATTTAGTCGACACATATTCATCAAACTTTCCCAGACATCAATGCTCGGTTCCACAGGCATTTGTTCAACAAATTCACAAGCTTCATCAATATAGCCAGACTGCCCAAGCATATTAACAATGCTGACATAATGTTCCATGGTGGGAGTTACACCAAAGTCCTTTTGCATTGATTCAAAATGCAACATCCCCTCATCAACAGAACCCAAAATTCCACATGCCAAGAAAACATGTGTGAACATGGTTGAATCTGGCTTATTACCTGTCTGCTTAAACTGATCAAAAAAATCAGTTGCTTCGTCACCAAGACCATTATACACAAAACCTGAGATTATAGTGTTCCATGATGCCAAATTACGTTGAGCTATAGTATTGAATAGCTTCTTCGCATCTTCCATTGACCCACATTTAGCATACATCTCCAAAATTTTGTTGTTAATATCTGTGTCAACAGCAAGTGCTGATTGAGATATTTGATTATGTATTTTTCTTGCTTCTGCAAGAGAAGTTGCATCACCACATGCTTGCATCAATTTAAAATATTGAGGAGCATGCACTACAGTTCCTTCTTCCTGTAGCAAAGCCAGAAGTTCCACAGCTTCTTTTACTTTGCCATCTTCACATAACTTATCCATCTCTTCAACAGTAACTTTGGATTCTCCACTGGTTACATCAGATGCTCCAGAAGGTAACCCATCAATTGACGGGCTATCAGTTAGTGGATTGCGGTATATGCCATCTTGATACAGTGCAGGTGCATGAGTATTGTGTTGCACAGATCTGTTTACATTCATGGGTTGCCCTGGAAAATTACCTTGTGCATCAATTTTGCTACTGACGTAAGGGCTCTGAGGTGCATGTGAAACATTATGTCCAATACCACCATTGTAGCCTTGCTGAAAATTTGCAGCATGTTCCTTATTGAATCTACTTGGATTTGGATATTCTGAGGTAGAACCAGGCCTATTTGCATAATTGCCAGCAGATCTTTGATCAACTTCCTGTTGTTGAAAGACTTGCTGATCATTTCCAGTTGATTCTTGATATGATTGTCCTGAAGGGCCATATCCATACTGCCTACTATCATATGCCTGCTGGTTATTTTGGGTGTTGTAGCCAGATCTGTATGTGTCAGATCCATGATAATGATGCCCTGTACCATATCCAGAAACGCCACTATTATTACCTTGTCTGCGGCTATACTGGGAATTTGGTAGATCCCCATTAGCGATTTGCTGGTTGTATGTAGTACCACCACCATAAGGTTGCTTGTCATTGTATCCAGGTGCTTCATAATTCACTCTTGCACTAGTATATGGCTCATTACGATTCGCAAATCCATATGGTCCACCTGTTTGGGAAGGCTGCGCAGAATTGCTTCTGTACTGTGCATTGGCACTGCCATAGGGTTGCCTGTCATTATATCCAGATGCTCCATTATTCACCCTTGCACTACTGTACGGCTCATGACGATTTGGAAACTCCGGTTGCCCAGGATTGCGTCTGTAATTAGCATTGACACTTCCATCACCACTCACACCTCTAATTCTATCAGCTCCTACAGAGGAATCAGTTGAAGGGAGATTTGCCTGAACTTGGTGGCTGAGACTATCAGTTCGATGGGGCTCCCTGTAGTTCCCATCATTACGTGCTCCCCATTCGCGGTGATAGTCCCCATCGATCTGTTCTGATGCGAAATTGCCAGCGCCTCGATGTGGAACCAAAGGCCACAGACAACCTCTGTCAGCTGGAAGACTGCAGCACAGTAGTCAATGGAGAAAGTGAATTTACAGGAAAGAAACACACGATCATCAGGTTATCAACTTGGAAATCCAGAGAGTAAAACGAGTTTGTTCAGCTTTGTGGAGCTATGTATTCTGGACTTGTAAGTCGGGATTGATTATTGAACGAGTGGGAACATTTCAGCATAAAAAAGGAACAACAACTATCAAGTACCCTGTATCTGCGTTCGGCGCATGAGTGCCACAGCTTCCATTTCAAACCATGATTGGCCTCCATGAACAAGTAAGAAAAGGACAATTTCTTTCCTAAAAAAAAATCTCTCTCTAGAGAAAGGACTGCAAATCTGTGGCTTCGCTTCTAGCCTTCTAGCACAGAAGATCACAAGTTCTCTGAGAGAACTAAGACTAAACCAAACGAACGCTATTGAATACCCAAGATTGATGCAAGGAAACAGTGACTCGCCGTAGGGCTTAGTGGGGCGACGGTGCGGTACCTGGGCGGCGAATCCACGCGACGGACGGGCGAAGCGAGCGCGCCGCGAGGCGAGTAACGGGCAGCTAGGAGGGCCCTGCGTGCTCCAACCATGGCGGCCATCTCTCTCCTCCTCCTTCCTCCCTCCGACCTCGGCGCGCTCCTCCTCTCCTCCCCCTTCTCCGGCGGCTCCCTCCCCTAAAAACCTCGCGACGATGCGGCGGCCGTTCGTTCTCCAGTCCAGCCGCCAAGCAGAAGGAGCGACTGCCTCTCCTCGGCCGCGTTTTGCGTACGTGGCTGCACTTGAGTCGTCCGATGGGAATAGGCCCAAATAGGCAAAGGCCCAATGGGCCTTCTGGTTGTTGGCTTGACCGCTTTCCCCGTCTTCCGGGGCCCACAAGAGCACCGCGGCCACGGCTGCTGCCTCTCCGGCTCGCACATGGTTCGCCGCCTTTCGGTGAGATCCCCGCGGCTGCAGCGAGCTCGCAGGCCGCCGCCTTCCGCGCCGCCGACCACCGCGCCCATGGACCCCCCCTCGCCGCCGCCGCCGCCGCCATATCCTCCTGCTGCTGCTGAGGGCGGTCCGGCAGCGGATAGCCAGGCCGCTGAGCTGCCCCGGCTGACTGTGACGCAGGTGGAGCAGATGAAGGTGGAGGCGAAGGTGGGCGAAATCTACCGCGTCCTCTTCGGCAACGCGCCCAACGCCAATTCCCTCATGTAAGCGAACCCTTCGAGAGCGCTGTCGCTATCACTTTGCTTTAGTTACTCGCAGTGTTTGTGCATGTAGAGTGCTGTGGCGGATTGGGATGCGAGAGATGTGCTAGATGGGTGCGGGTATCATATCGTTGTTGCTAAATTTTAGCTTGACTTAGTTCCGTAATTAGTTCATCCTTATCAATTACACAGTGTAGATATAGCCTGGTTATGTTGTTCACAGTCACAGAAGCTTAATGTTACCAGTTAGGTTGAGAATTTAATGTTCCCCACCTCCTTATTACGAGATTTGGTTGTATGTTTACTGCTTCAGGTTAGAGCTGTGGCGTGAGCAGCATGTTGAGTATTTGACGAGAGGGCTGAAACATCTTGGACCAAGCTTCCATGTGCTCGATGCCAAGTAATGGTTCTCCGGTATTGAATTATATAGCAGAATATGGTTTTAAAATGAGATTATGCGAAGTTGATGTATATATTTGGTTTTAAAATTATGTTCTAGTCGACCTTGGCTGTGCTACTGGATTATTCATGCACTTGCTCTGTTGGATGAAATACCTGACGATGTTGAGGATGATATTGTGGACTTCTTATCTCGATGTCAGGTTTGTTAAACTGCTGGTATTATATAAAAAAATGTTACTCTTACTACATAAATATGCATTAGTTACCACTCTTCATGCGTCTGTAAAGAAACCAACTCAACAAGTCAATTTTTCAGTACTTTGTTCTTTCCTTTACTGAGGTGATAACAAAGTTCAATCGAAGAAATAGTTCCACTAGATTTCTAAGGTCTTGTGGAATTTTTAAAGTCTCAAGCTGGGTGTCTGAATGAATCTTCTGAACCCACATGTAACTTTTCATGCATATCAAGGATAGCACAACTATCTTTGTTCTGCTCCACTTAGTTAGTTCATGTTATCCCTTTCCTTTCTCATAAAGTGTTCGGTACAACATGAATTTGCTTATGGATACATAGCAAATAACTGAAGATATTGATTTGCACATACATGTGATTCTGAAGATTTCATTGCCATTATTATCATGATTCTTTCAGGACAAAGATGGTGGTTATGGCGGAGGACCTGGACAGGTTTTCTCTTAACCTCAAACTTTTGGGTTCCAAACTTGTGGCTGGGTAATATAGCTTTGAGTTGGTTAACATTTCACATTAGTTGTCGTTATCTTAGGCAATACAAAACTTCAACAAACCATGTGAACACTGATCTTTTGCTTCAAATGACTAGATGGGCCAGTCTAGGCTACTCAACATCTACCCTAACTAAATTGACCATCTCAAACAAGTTCGATGTGATGAAATATCTGAAGATCAATTTATCTTTGGGTATTTGATGGCCTAAAGTGTTTATATAACTACAGGTTCTCATTTTGATGGCAAAGTTAGTGCTTTGACTTGTGTTATCCAACTCGTGCAAACTTTAGAATAGTCAATCTTGACTGTTCTTTGATCTTCCTAATTTGAGTTCAGTTTTACGAACTCACTCGATAAGGTTAATTTAGTATGAGGCGAATTTTTTGATGTCAATTTCACTTCTTTGTGCTAGTTGCCTCATCTCGCTACAACTTATGCTGCTGTAAATACACTTGTAACTATAGGGAGTGAAAGGGCACTATCATCGGTAAACAGGTAATTCTTATGGCACTATGTTGACTAAATATGCTTCCATCTGTATCATATGGTTAACAATTTCTACGGTGTAAATCAGGGACAACCTGTACAAGTTCATGCTTCGGATGAAAGATACATCGGGAGCTTTCAGGTGTGCATTTTCTCAAGTAGTAAACAGTGGGGAGAAAATAGTTTCTTTCCATGTCGAGTTCCTTACACCTTATATCTGCCACTCATTTTATTATCCTTTGACCAGAATGCATGATGGTGGTGAAATAGATGTTCGTGCTAGCTATACTGCAATATCGGTGAGTTTCTTTGCTCCCTTAGTATTTTCTTTGCAATTCTTTGATTTTTTTTTCTTGTTTTGTTAGGTTGCCAGCCTTGTGAACATTCTTGATGGTGAACTAGCAAAAGGTGTTGGAAATTACATAACAAGGTTTGCTTTGGCTCTTGTCATTGTCAATTTTCCAGCTGTAAAATATAGAATGGCTGGTTAGTTCCTAAACTAAATGCCTCCAGGTGTCAAACCTATGAAGGTGGCATTGCTGGGGAACCGTATGCTGAAGCTCATGGTGGGTATGTTTCAACGGAGGATCTCTGTTTTTTTTTATTTTTCCTGTATGTATCTATTTGGATCTTTTAAGTAATAGTTGCTTTGGTTTGACAAGGTACACTTTTTGTGGGCTGGCTACGATGATCCTGCTTAACGAAGTGGACAAACTTGATTTGGCTAGCTTGATTGTAAGGAAACCTCTGTTGATTGATTCAGTTCTCTTTCTATTCCAACTTGTGTAGCGCTACTTCTAATTTCCATGGGTTTAGTGGTAGGCAATGTGAACTTTTAAGACCATGGTATTTGGATGTGGTCCTTCGGTTTCTAGTTGTACAATGCTGAGTAGATGTATTAGAAAACACCATATAGACACTAATAGTAGTTTGTGGCTGTCACAGCATTTACTTATTATAACACTGATAATTGCTTTGTGGATTATCTTCACAATTAAGGGCTGGGTGGCATTTCGCCAAGGAGTGGAATGTGGATTTCAAGGACGAACTAATAAATTGGTTGATGGTTGCTACTCCTTTTGGCAGGTTAATGCCATACCTGTTTTTTTTTTCCTGGCATCCTCCACTCTATCTGACAAACTTCTGGTGTATGACCAGGGAGCTGCTCTTGCTTTAACACAAAAACTAATGACAGTTGTTGATGAGCAATTAAAATCATCATATTCCAGCAAAAGGCCTCCAGGAGATGATGCTTGTGGTACGAGCTCTTCTACTGGTAAGAAACATCAATATGTTTCTCATGGAGAACTGAAATCTTCAGCTTAATGTTTATTTTAAAATTATATTGCTTCAAATATCTGGTGACACGCTTCATAGCGTGTGACCGCGCTTGTTCTGTTTGATTTGCTTGTGGGGATTAAGTGCAATTGTGCAAATATTACTTTTTACATATTTTATACCTTTCATTCTTCATCAACTAGGTTATCGTACTAGCTTCTTGTTGTATATGATGTTGGGTTGTTTATCCCCATGATCTTATATTTGGTTTTTTTTGGCAGAAGCAGCATATTATGCTAAGTTTGGATTTGATTTTATAGAGAAGAGCAACCAAATAGGCCCACTGTTCCACAACATCGCGCTGCAGCAATACATCCTGCTTTGCGCACAGGTAATAAAAGAACATCTAATTTCATGCTTAGCTGGATTTGTAGAAAATTTCTTGCTGTAACTTGGAAATTCTCTAGTGTTTACTTGACACTTGAATGGTAAATCTGATTCGTGTTCCAAATCACGCAGGTGCTGGATGGAGGGTTGAGGGATAAGCCTGGGAAGAACAGAGATCACTACCACTCGTGCTACTGCCTGAGTGGTCTGTCAGTTAGCCAGTACAGCGCCATGGTTGATTCTGATGCGTGCCCCTTGCCGCAGCACGTGCTTGGTCCTTACTCAAACTTGCTAGAGCCGATCCATCCGCTCTACAATGTTGTACTAGACAAATACCATACGGCCTATGAGTTCTTTTCAAGCTAGTGATACAACTGTCTAGGACATGTATGATATGTATGAGCTCTACAATGTTGCGCCTTACAAGTTACAACTGTCTAAGACATGTATGATATTTCATTCTTTTTTACACTGACTGAACGGCCCCAGATACCAAAAGTCCATATAAACTCGCAAACTGGCATTTGTTAATCTGGAATTACGCTTGTGTACATTAGCAAGGGCTCTTGGCCTTGGAGTTGGAGGCCACATCTCAATTATCTTGGTTACTGATGGGCCAATTGCTGACTTTTCCTAATCGGAGGTCCGAACATCACCATAATTCTAGCAAGAATCGTACTAGTCTACTACCCCTAAAATATTACTTCCTCCATATTTTAATGTATGATGTTGTTGAATTTTTAATCAACGTTTGACCATTTATTTTATTTAAAAAATTTATGTAATTATCATTTATTTTATTGTGGCTTGATTTATCATCAAATATTCTTTAAGTATGACATAAATATTTTTATATTTGCACAAAAAATTTGAATAAGACGAATGGTCAAACGTTGTTCGAAAAGTCAACGGTGTCATACATTAAAATACGGAGGGGATACTTCTTTCATAACTAAAAGTTAATATATAACTTCTTTCATAACTAAAAGTTGATATATGTTGATATATTCTTATGAAAATTGGTATATTTTGGAGGTAGTAAGAAATTCATGCTTAAATACTTATCCCTGTGAGACTGAAAAACTGTCATTGGGAACTTAATATGCATCAAGAAACTTCCATTGTTAGAAAGTTTGAAAGGCTATACTGATGTTAGATAGGGAAAGTATTTTTATCTCTCGAGGAAATATTCCCTTCATTTCTTACATGCCACCTAAATAGCCATAAAAATATTTAAAAAATTAACAACGTAGATTAATATGAAATATATTACTCTACAAACATAAAAGTTCAAATTATTCAGCTTTTACAAGTTGTAAAAGAATAACAAATATATTTGCGAGTGTACGTTAACTATTTTTAGTTAAATTTGTTCTTTGTATTACAACTAATAGAAGTCAAATTTAACCTTGCATATTTATGTAGTAATATATCTTGTATTATTAACCTATGTTGCTATTTTTTATAAAGAATTATGACTATCTACTTGATTTGCAAGAAACGAGGGGATGTTTATCTCCATATTACATATCCATCTGTATTGTAATCGCGAAAGACAAGCGAGAGAGTTATAGACTCATTGGCAAATACTAGTACTATGAAAAGAAAAGCATATAGCATGGATGACACCCAAAATGTGAACATAACATGCATGTTTGTACAACCATGTCTCACCACCACAAAGATCAAAGCACACGAAACGTGAGATGTTTTCTTGAAGAGTCAAGGTAAACAACACGACTTTAATAGGAATTTCACTCCCTTGAAAAGTTTTAGTTTGGGTTTTCCCCAAACCAAAAAAAAAGAGAATGGAAGAATTCTTCTTATTCATAAAAAAGGAATCCTAGAATTATGTTTGCATAAGGTATCCTACCCCATACAATCAAATATAAAATAGGGTATGGGACTATTAATGGCTTTGAAAATGCGAAATAGTTGATGAGAGAAGTTGCTGAGAAAAGAAACAAGAAAGTGGAATAAAATCCAATCTTAGTCATATATTTTCGAATGAGGATCCCCTGACTTTGTGCAGTTTGCAGTTGTGCCACTGACATGTGGCCCACACATGTCAGTGGCACAACTGCAAACTGCACAAAGTCAGGGGATCTGTTTCCTATATTTTCTATCTCTTCTTGTTCAAACATAAAGGTAAAGGAGAGAATTTGGGCTCTTAAAATCCAATCTTAGTCATATATTTTCTCTCTCTTCTTGTTCAAACATAAAGGAAAAGGAGAGAATTTGGGCTGAGCAAAAATATCTCTCTTATCCATTTGGAGCATAGGGATCGATTTATAAGAATTGAATGGATTTGTTTTTTTATGTTATTTTGTGAAGGAATATAGAATGATACAATTGATTGGGAACTATGCCTAGATACAGTATAAATAAAAATTTCATTGATAATACCTTCTCAATTGTCTAATATTTTATTGCTAATAATTCCGGAGAGTCAAGGTAAAGGACACGACTAGTAGTAATGTTGTTGGTAACCACAAAGATCAAAGCACACTAAACATGACACGATTTCTTAAAGAGTCAAGGTAAACGACACGACTTCTTGAAGAATCTAAGGTAAAGGACACGACTAGCAGTAATATTGTTGGCAGGTGGCATGCATGATGCATGGCACCGGCAGGCAACGGCGGCGGCGCTACTCGTAGTCGTCGTACAGACTCCGGCCGACCTCGAACGAGGCGAAGGCGTCGGCGCACGCGTACATCACCTGGTCCAGCGTCAGCTGCCTTGAGTCCCAGGCGCTCACCCGCACGTGGTGCGGCTTCTCCATCCACACGTCCATCACCTCCCACACCAACCCCTGCAGCCCGGTGCTCCGCAGCGCCGGCTTCCCGATCGTCTGCGCGGCGAGGTAGCGCAGGTCCACCGCGTTCTCCACCTCCAGGTCGTAATGCTCCCTCAGCTTGTCCACGTCGTCGTGGATCCCGACGCCGACGAAGGTGAAGCGGCCGTCGCCGAGGAAGTCGCCCAGCTGGTCCGGGACGTAGTCGGCGTGGATGATCTGGAAGACGAGGCAGCGGCGGCCGACGCAGATCTGGAGCACGGCGACGGGGCCCAGAGCGCAAAAGCCGCTTGCTGGGTTCCACTCGACGTCGAGCCCGACGATGAGGTGGTCGAGGCGGCGGTGGTGGATGCGGACGATCTCGTCCAGCCACTCCTCGACCTCCTCGCCGGAGTCCGTCACCGTCGTGTAGATTTTGTCCTCGTCGAACGCCACCGTGTAGGTGCCATCGCCGAAGTCGTTCACGATCGAGGTCGACAAATCTCTCTCTGCTTTTGGAGTTTTGAGGTTTAAACCTTCGAATTGGCCAAGATCAGATTGGCGATTCACTTCAGGGGTTTATATCGTGTGATTAATCCACACAGTCCGCAATTCCGCATAGATGACGATTGTGTTAATTTGTTCGCTGCGAACGAACGGCTGAGATTTGGTTGAGAGCGCTGACGTGTGCTTATCGGCGTCCGAGATATCTCTCTCGACGAGGATGGGATGACACGAAAAATACGCATTTTTTAGCGAGGTAAAGATAGAGCAGTTTTAAAGCACCAGAGTAATTTTCTCGTAGACTATCACTGATCACCGAGAGCCCACAAGTGTTTGGCCCGCTTGTCAGATACTGCGTAGCAAGGGATCCTGTGTCGCGGCGAACCTCCAAAACGGATGAAATGCGAAACCACCGGATAAAGGCAAAACATATATTCACAATCCTACCGTAGGATAGAAGTCACTGGTTCAATAGGACGACCGTGTGGTTCCGCTCGGGAGAGATCTTGCTTCGTGAACTATTTGGGCGCCCGGGATTCTCGGACAATTCTACGATTCAACGGGCCATCTAGTCAGTGATGTTATCCACGGTACCCGTCTGGAGTTTTTCATGTGCGACTCGTGATGTTTCACTATGTATGAATCAAATGTTTCAATAAATTTTTATACTATTTAATAATTTTATCTTGATGGACACGTGGTTTGTTGATGTACACGGGGTTCAAGTGTTGCAATGACTTTAAATTGTTTGCTGCATATGTTGAACCAAATTGTTTCATCTAGCGATTTGACTGTGTTTCACTTTTTTTAAGAATTGAAACATTCTTTCGCTATTTGCTGAAACATTGTTTTTTTATAGGGTGAAACAACGTCTGGTTTTTTTGGAACCGTTGTTTCATACGTTGTAGCAAAATGTTTCATAAGGTGATTTGGTTGCGCTTCAGTTTTTTTAAAAAAATTGAAACATTTTCGAACTACTTAGTGAAACATTAACGATCTACTTGGTGAAATAACGCCCGATTTTTGAAAAAAAAAATCGAGCGTCCGATTTATAGGCACCTCGAGATTTTCTTTAGAAAAAGAGTAGCATTGATTAGGATGACATAAATCTATACCCAAACGCATGGTTAAATTCAATCTACAATTACATAAACAAAAGTTGTACCAGTGTGCAACGCAAATAGAATTTGTGTTTATATCATCACAAAAGTTGTAAGTTAAATTTAGATTTGCATGTTTGTGCAGTTGTTTATATCATCACATCTTATCTAATTTTATAAAACATTTACATAATTATTAAGTTATATGCAAACAATGGGTGCATGCATCTAGGTGTATCACTACTGCACAAACAATTTTTGCGTATGCCCTTTATTTAAAGGCAGTCGAGCTAAAATAATGTCCGTATGTAAAAAAAAAGTTGGGTGGTGTTTGGTTATGGGCCACATGCGAAAATCTATTTTCACAGGTGGGCTTCTTGAGACGGCCCACAAGTGTGGGTTTCTCTCTTCTATGTGCATTTCGCGCAGTGTCACGTGTCCTCACCTTTTTCTCTCTTATCCCCTTTTCTGTCCTCACCTTTTTCTCTTTTATCCCCTTTTCTCTCCTCTCTATCCCTGCTTTTTTTTTCCTCCACCTCCTCTCTCTCCCCAATCATTTTAGGACACATTTTTCTCTCTTATCCCCTTTTCTCTCCTCTCTATCCCTGCTCTTTTTTTTTCACCTCCTCTCTCCCCAATCATTTTTCTACGATCACCACTCCTTTTCCTCTACCCTCCTCTCTCCCCCTTCCACTCCTGTCCAGCCTCCTCGAGCTTGGGGATAGACGGCAGGTGGGGGTGCGCTTGGGCGACGGCAGGAGTGAAGGCGAGGGCGACAGATGCGAAGGTAGTGGATTTGGGCCATCCTCAAGAAGGGCAGATCCATGGACTGTGGATCCGAGTGTCACCTTCTGAAGGGGCGGATCCGCCACCATCAGTCTTGGAGGAGCGGCAACTACTAGGGTGGATCCGTCGGGGATGGTGGACTAGGCACAGACTCATCAGTGGCGGTGGCCGCAAAGGGGATCTACCACCATCAGTCCCGGAGAGGGCGATAACTACTAGGGTGGATCCGTCGGGGATGGTGGACTAGGCATAGACTAATAAGTGGCGGTGGCCGCAAGGGGATCCACCACCATCAGTCCCGGAGGGGCGATAACTACTAGGGTGAATCCGTCGGGGATGGTGGACCTGGCACAGACTCATCAGTAGCGGTGGCCGCAAGGGCGGATCCATCGATGATGGTGACCTCAAGGGGCCGTAGAGGTTTATGCCCCGTAGAGGCTCAAAATCCGCAGCCGCCGACCGTAGAGAAATGACGACAATGATGGGATCATACTATGACAAGACGATGGGAATGGGAGCTAGGGTTTTTTTTTTTTTTTTTGCTAACAGGAGGCATAATGAGTCATTGACGAAAATTTTGTTTTTGCACACATCTAGGGACAAGCAGGTACATAAATAAAAATATAACAATTTCCGCATACATATATAGGGACAAGCGTGCCCGCCTGTGAAAATGCCTTTTGGCCTAATGTTAGTGTATATTATCACAACCTTCATGCGGGATCTATCTAGAAGTCATCATCATGCAAATATACTACGCATTGCACACAAGGATGAAAACGGTTTGGAAAGTTGTCATTATGCAAATATGCTACCTCCGTCCCAAATTAGTAGTCGCTTTGATTTTTTTCTTGTAACATTTGACCATTCATTTTATTTGAAAAATTAGTACAAAATAAAAAGGGAGAAGTCATACTTAAAATAGTTTTGATAATAAATCAAATTACAAACAAAATAAATAATAATTCTATAATTTTTTGAATAAGATGAAAGATCAAAAGTAACAAACAAAAACTCAAAGTGACAAGTATTCTGCGACGGAGGTAGTAGTGCGCATTGCACACAGGATGAAAACGGTTTGGAAAGTTTTCGATTTTCAAACTTGTTTTCGTATAAACCAAAAGTATCTGTCAAATTTTTTTCGGAAAGTTTTGAAAACGGATGAATTCGGAATGTTTTTTTTCTAAAAAATGAGAACGAATACGGTAATTCAAGGAATGCTGCATGTATCTGTACACGTCTAACCACCACAGGTCGATCCACAGCAAGTTTAACCAAAAAAAAAAATCAAAGCATGTGAAGCGTGAGATGAGATGACCTCTCAAAGACACAAAACAGTAAACGACACTTAGTGGCAGATGGCATCCATTGACACCGGCGGCGGTGCTAGTCGTAGTCGTAGTACAGACTCCGGCCAACCTCGAACGAGGCGAAGGCGTCCGCGCACGCGTACATCACCTGCTCCGGCGTCAGATTCCAAGAGTCCCAGGCGCTCACCCGCACGTGGTAAGGCTTGGGCGCCCACACGCCCATCACCTCTCGCACCAACCCCTGCAGCCCGGCGCTCCGCAGCGCCGGCTTCCCGATCGTCTGCGCGGCGAGGTAGCGAAGGTCCACCACGTTCTCCACCTCCAGCCCGTGATGGCTCCTCAGCTTGGCCACGTCGTCGTGGATCCCGACGCCGACGAAGGTGAAGCGGCCGTCGGCGAGGAAGTCGAACAGCGAGTCCGGGACGTAGTCCGCGTGGAGGATCTGGAAGATGAGGCAGCGGCGGCCGACGCAGATCTGGAGCACGGCGACGGGGCCCGGCCCGTGATAGTAGGTGGCGGGGCGCCACTCGACGTCGAGCCCGACGACGAGGTAGTTGAGGCGGCGGCGGTGGATGCGGAGGATCTCGTCCAGCCAATCGTCGACGTCATCGCCGGAGTAAGTCACCGTCGTGTGGATGTAGTCCTCGTCGAACGCCACCGTGTAGGTGCCGTCGCCGAAGTCGTCCACGATCGAAGTCGCCATCTCCTCCCTTCTCTCTTCAATCTCCTCTGCTTTGGAGTGTCGAGGTTTTAATAAACCATCGAGTTGGAGATCAGATTTGACGATGCGTTTCAGGGGTTTATATCAGGGTGATACATACACTACACGTACGATGACGATTGACGTACGAGTAGACGACGATCGTGTTTGTTCGCCGCCGTACGGACGGCTGAGATTTCGTTGGTGTGCGTATCAACGGCCTTGATATCCCTCAGATGACGGGGAAGATAACATGGTAAAGTACCGCATTTTTAGCAAGGCAAGATGACATGGTAACTTCCACCAAGATAGCGCTTGGATTGGGCATTTGGGCGAGATCATGGGACGTGGCCGTTTTGGACGCCCGAGAAGACGGACCATATGCCGCGTTTCCCACGTACGGCCCCGCCATATCAATGATGATTTTGTTTTTCGTCTAGCCTTCTCTTTTATGAAAGAATTTTTTTGTTCGCCTAGCTAATTAACTTGGCTGTCCCGTGGCCGTGACTAGCTTCAACGCATACCACTCTGCAAAAATACTTCCTCCGTTTCAAGTTAATTATAAGATATTTTAATTTTAGTCAAAGTCAAGTTCCTTCAAAGTTTCGTCAAATTTATAGAAAAAACAGTAATATTTTTGACCCAAGATAAACCTATTATAAAATATATTTAATAATTAATTTAATAAAATTAATTTGGTAATGTAAATATTATACTATATTTGTCTATAAACTTAGTCAAACTTGAAGCAGTTTGACTTTGATCAAAGCCAACTCATCTTATAACCTGAAACAGAGGGGTACATTTCTACTCGTACAAGATCCCTGGCGTGCACGAATAATGTAATATTTGAAAGGAGAAAAAAAAGATAAGATTAAGAAGATATAAAAAAAGAGGTGAGCTATTAGCATATGGTTAATTGAATATTAATTATTTAAACTTGAAAATAAATTAATATTAATAAGGATTTTTCAATTTATTTTTTAAAAAAATCTCGACAAACGTGACAAGAGATTTAGGCCTGGTTTAGTTCCAACTTTTTCTTCAAACTTTCAACTTTTCGATCATATTAAGGGTCCGTTTGGCACAGCTCCAACTCCAGCTCCACCTCTCCTAGAGCTGGAGCTCAGCCAAACAGTTTCAGCTCCAGCTAAAATGAGAGCGGAGCTGAGTGGAACTCTCTCACAAAATAAACTAGAGAGGTGGAGCTAGGTTTAGGTAGCTTCACAACTCCACTCTAGACTCAACTCCTGAAGCTAAATTTGGGAGTTGGAGCTCTACAAAATATGCCCTAAAACTTCCCTACACACATAAACTTCTTTTTTTTTCTTCAAATTTTCAATTTTATTCAAACTTCTAATTTTGGCGTGGAACTAAACACGGCCTTATACTCTCTATCAACTCCAAAAGAATGCATAAGCGACTGTTTGGATGGTTGCTTCACCTTCCAAAACTTTTAAACCAAAAGTATGGCATATGGCGTAGTTTTTCTAGCACCAATTGCAGATAGATAGGTAGCCAAACTTGTGCTTGTGGGTCATTTTGGCGAGAAGATGAGCTGGCAAATAGTACACTTGTCTTGTAAAGATTCTCTTCCATAAAAGTTCATGTCATGTACTCCAACTATCTCAGGCTATATGACGTTTTAACTTTGGTCAAAGTCAAATTGTTTAAATTTTGATCAAGTTTGTAGAGAAAAATAGTAACATTTTGAACACAAGAAATTTATTATAAAAATATATTCAATTATTAATTTAATGAAACTAATTTAATATTATAAATATTACTATATTTGTTTATAAACTTAGTCCGACTTTAAACAGTTTAATTTTGACTAAAGTCAATACGTTTTATAAGGAGTACTACATATGGAAATTGAACTGATCATTGTGAAAACAATCCTCTAATTAAAGTCCATGTAAAATACACGGTATTGGTTTAGCACGTTGATAAACGTGCTGGTGATACGTCCCAGATGGCCTGGTCAGGTAGCTAGTTTGATCGAGTCGCTTTCTTCCCTGAATTTTGCGAGCTTGGAGAGCTCGTCGACGGCATCCACGAGGTGGTCCAGCCGCGCCACGAACTCGAGCAGCAGCGACGCGAACGTGGCCAGCGACAGCGCCGCCGTGCTCTCCAGCGCGCGCACCCTCACCATCATCGCCGCGTATCCGCCGCCGGCCTCCGCCTCCTCCAGCTCGTCCGCCTCCCGCGACGGCCACGACAGCCTCTGCCGCCGCGCGCTCTCGCGCAGCCGCGAGCACGAGCGCTCGAGGCCGCCGCCGCTCGTGATCTCCTCCGCCACGGAGCCGGACGAGACGAGGAGGTGCGAGTTGAGCTCCAGCGCGAGCTGGAGGCGGTAGGCGGAGCCGTGCACGCTCTTGAGAAGGCTCAGCCTCTCGGCGCTGCGCGTCATGCCGTCGACGTCGCCGCCAAGGACACGGACGAGCTCGGCCGCCTGCGCCGTCGCGTCCTCGATCTCCGCACGGAACGCCTCCCTGACTCCGTCCGGCGCCTGCACCGAAGAAACAAACAGAATCTGACACCGATCGGCGGCGAGCTGTGTGCACTTGTGCGCTAAGCCATTGCATTGCTTCGGAACAGGATCGAGAAGAAATTAACTGGCCTGTATCTCGGAGTGCAGGCAGCCGTGCATGGCGACGACCTCGTAGGCGCAGTGGCGCAGCACGGCTCCGACGCGGGCGTAGTGCGACCACGGGAAGGAGAAGGAGCGGAACCGGCCGTGCGGCGGCTCCCATCTCGCCGATCTCGCCTGCGTACGCCCGCCATTACACGTTCAAGTCAAAGCTACGTAGTGTGTGTGACCGTGTGGTGTACAGTATATACACAGGCAAGCACGCGCGTATGGCAATCTTACCAAGGATTCGATCCTAGCGGATGCGTTCAGGATGGCGCGGCATTTCTCAATTGCTGGTTCGCCGCCGTCGACGGCCGTTTCGTCGCCTGACAGATAGCTCCTGACGCAGTCTGACAGATCAACGAGTGGATTCGTCAGACGGTGTGCTTTGTGGCGTCTTTCGCATTGCAATCGTGCAAAGGAGGATTGATTGATTGGTGTGTGTGTGTGTGTGTGTGTGTGTGTGTGAGAGAGAGAGAGAGAGAGAGAGAGAGAGAGAGAGAGAGAGAGAGAGAGAGAGAGAGAGAGAGAGAGAGAGAGAGAAGGAGTGATTTATTGCACCGTGGAGCGAGTCGGCGACGGCGGCGAAGCTGGCGACGAGCTCGCGGTGGAGCTGCTCGCCGGCCCACGCCGGGAAGATGAGCACGTTGACGAGGAGCGCCAGCACGGCGCCGATGGCGATGGCGTAAAGCCGGTCGAGGCCGGCGGCGACGGGCTCGCCGACGCGGTAGACCGACACCATGATGAGGCAGTAGGTGAAGAGGATCACCCGGAAGCCGTACTCATACGGCGCCAGCGCCGGCAGCTGCTTCACGAACGACGTCACGGCCCCTGCGACCGAAAAGCCAAGCCACATCACATGTTTTGTCGTGCGCCACATAGATAATGTGTTACTACCTCTATATTTCAGGTTATAAAACTTTTTAGTATTGATCATATTCATATAGATGTTAATTAATCTATGTACACATATATGTCTAAATTCATTAACATATATATAAATATAGACAATGCTAGAAAGTCTTATAACATGAACGGAGAAAGTACTAGTGTTTCGCCTTAATTTGCAACTTACCAACTAGGAAGATGCTTAGGCCAATCACGTACGGCTCGGCGACACTGCCGCATCTGAGCGAAATCCAGATCACCGCGATAGCAACAACTCCGGCCACCATGCTCCCCACGGCCCGGTTAAACCCTCGGTTGAAACTGGCGCCTGCAAGAACAGAAATCTAAACAGTTGGAATTAGAATTTCGCGGCATATGTATATCGATTAATTAGCGTAGAAATTAAACTAACAGTAGCTGCTACTTGTATGTGTACGGACCAACGGTGTACTCGAACATGATGCCGACGGTGAGGATGGACCAGATGATGTTGGTGCCGAACAGCCTGAAGGGCTCGCCGACGAGCACCAGCAGCGACGCCAGGAGCATCGCGAGGCCGGCCTTGAGGGCGAACGCCACCCTGCCGGCGTCCTCGCTGGCGAAAGCCCACGCCGCCGCGGCGGCCGCCCGGGCGCACCGAGGGAAGCCGCCACCGCAGCAGCTCGCTTCGGTCATCGCCTCGGGCCTCTTGGCGAAGCCCGGGAGCACGGCGTTCGGCGACAGTGTCACGTCGACGGTGACACCGCCCACGGCGCTGTCGCCCCTGCTCATTGTCACCGTGCGTACGTACACGGCGAATATGTCGTTTGATCAACAAGAGGAAACTAAGGCGGTTGCTACACTTGTGTTGTGTCCCTATTGTGTACAAGACTACTTTGTGATAATGGAAGTTATATTTATAGGTGGTAATGCGTGGCAACGCGCATGGGATAGATTGGGAATGTAGCAAAAGGATCATTCGGGAGTAATAATTGATGTGGAAGTTCATTCGGAGATGCGCTAGGCTTAATAATTCTCAGGCGCTCTAGACTTTTGCAGTGAAACTAAGGGTTTCTTCCTCCGTTTCCGTTCGAGCATGTGCCATCGTCGAGAATTTGAACCCGATGAGATGAGTAGATTACCGGCAGCAAGATGCCAGGAACATATTCTGCACGTTCAGGGACTTGGAATGTGGCCTTGGTTGTCTGATGGCCCCGACCCACTAGCAAAGGACTTATGGCTCGAGGAGCCAGGGACAAGAACCAGCATATCTCCCACTTCACATATTTCCATGGAAAAAATTGTGTGCTCAGGAAACATGATGACAATGGTCATGGACAAACATTTGACGCTGGTGGCAAATTGACAATTATGCCACCACTAGGCTCCTGCTGACGTAACAGTGCAGACAATCTAACACGTTATCTTCTCACGCATAGCTTAGTTGTGGAGCGAAAACTTTTCAGGATTGCATCAGAACAAGAATGGCCAAATTAGACAATATTCCAAGAAACCAAGTCCTTCACATAGAGCTCTCCCGCCGCTCTCACGCGGGCGGCTCGGGAGCGAAACCCTAGCCGCCCGCGCCGCCCCCTCCCAACGCCTCCAGCCACCTCGCCGCCTCCAGAACCCGCCGCCGGAAACCGTGCGGCCGGCCGGAAAGGCGGCGGCGGGGAAAACGTACCGGCGGCGGAGCATCCCCTCGGCGTGGGAGGCAGCGCGACGCACGCACGGCGGAAGGCGGCGGCCGGAGCGGCCGGTGGGGCGGATCCGGTCGTGCTGGACGCGGATCCGGCCTCCCCGGGGAGGATCTGGCCCCCCGGTGGCCAGATCGGGAGAGGGGCGGCGGCGGCGCGGCAAGACGGTGGGCGGCCTCGAGCTCGCGGCGACGGCGACGCGACAAGTCGGTGGGCGGCCCGAGCTCGTGGCGACGGCGGCGCGGCAAGACGGCGGGCGGCCTCGAGCTCCCGACAACGGCGGCGCGGCAAGACGGCGGGCGACCTCGTGCTTGCGGTGATGGCGGCGCGACCTCGAGCTCACGGCAGTGGGGGCGCGACTCGGCGGAACAGCTTGTGGCGGCGGCGGCCGCGACAGCGCGGCAGCGCGGCGCGGAGGAGCAGCCCGGCCGGCATGCAGCGGAGGCTGACCGGCCAGACGGCTGTTGGCGACGGCGGCGCGGTCGTGCCCGCCGTGGTGCTCGTGGCAGTTGGCGGCGGCGGCGGCTGGCAACAGCGGCGGAGGACATGGCGGCGGCGTCGAGCTGGCTGCTTGGTGGCGGAGGATGACGGCGCAGCGGTTTGCGGAGGCGGAGGCTGGCGTCGGTGGCAGCGGCGACGGCGGCCGTGGCTGTGGACAGTGGCGACGTTGGCGGATGCGGGTCGCTAGCGAGGTGGCTGGGCGTTCGGCAGCAGCGGCTGCGGTGGCGGTGGCGGTGACCGTGTCTGCGATCACCGGAGGCATGGCGGACTCGGATGGCTAGCCGAGGGCGTGGCAGACGGTTGCTTTTGGCCGGCACGACATCGTTTGGTGGAGGGGTCGGAGACCGGCTTGGCGCAGAGAGGCGCAGCCGATGGCAACGGAGGCCGGCTCGGCGCGAGAGGCGCGGGCGGCGGAGATGGATGCCGGCTTGGCGCGAGAGGTGCGGCCGATGGAGGGAGGTCGGAATGACGCGAGAGGCGCGTCCGGTGGAGGAGGTCGGTTTGGCGCGAGTGGCGCGGCCGGCGGTGGAGGAGGCGACCTAGGTGTGAGGAGGAGCTGCCGGTAGGAGTGGCGCGGTCTTTGGCGCACGAAGACTGTCCGACGGGGGACGCCGGTGCAGGGGTTCCACATGTCGGTAGAGCTTGTGTGGTGGTGGAGCATCGGTGTGTCAGCCGTGGATTCGCATGTGGTGAGCGGCGGGTGAAAACCTAGTCTGGCCTCGGCCGAACCGACAACGATGGTTCATTCCCCCTCTTGAGGGCGTTGTCGTGCTGTCTCACCCCTCAAGGGTGGTTGCCGGGCGAAAGCCCAGTCTTGGCTTCTTTGAGCTCCGACGGACGGCGGCGGCGGTTTGTCGCTTCTCTTCTTGAAGACGTTGTTTTGGCATCCCCTAGGGGGGCGATCTCGCCTGTGTTCCTTTGTTGGTCTAGTGGCGGTCGGTCACGCTTAGCGACAGCCGTTCTGGTGCTAGCCTTCTCCTGGGTTTATGTGTTGACGATGTCGGTGTGTGGGTGGTGGTTTTTTTCCTTTTTTCTGGTTACGACACTTCAGGGTTGTAATCTTGTAATTTTTTCCTGCTCTATCAATAGAACTTCGCATTCAAGTCGTTCAAAAAAAAAAGAATGGCCAAATTGGCCGTCCCTGCAGGCTCACGCCCCATGATCAAAGGACGCAAGTGGATCGGCTCACACCCCATGTATCCATCAACCCATGGTCCCTTACTAGCTACTTCATTTGATCAACAAATTTTCTACTTCTACTTCGTAAATGGAAGAAAAATGCAATTTCATTAGAATGGCATTGCACCAATCCAACTCTGCTCACAAACGCAACCTTAAATACTACGTTTTATATCCCGAAAGCAAGCATCACATGGAAGAAGCTTGAGAACACTCGTGGTCGTGCGAGGCATTAAACATTAATTCAATCCCGACCGTGAGTCCGTGACACCGCCAACTTGCTGATTCTGCCCGAGCATTAGCTGCTTTCGCAGAACAGAAGGGATGATCGTTTGATATGAACTCAGTCGCATAACGATCACCACGTGTCCGTGTCTGCTCGAGAATAGAACCAAGGCCTCGAAATGATTGCACAGGCACAACAATTTTTTACATACCGTGTCCCCAAATATAAGAGATTTTGACTGTTAGAAAGATTCTCACTAATAAGTACTGTTACTGTTATGAAAGAAGATAGTACTCCTACCTATTATAGATTTCAGTCATGCAGCGATTGCCCCATCGCACAAAAACTAGCGCCTTCTGCGAACGCAGGAAACGGCAAACGCAGAGTATTGGTCTACTACATTTCCACTTCAGAAAAAAACTAGATATTTGCAGCTTCGCCAAAGTATTCTTCAGGAACGTGAAACTTCAGACCAATGGCCTGCAATTGAAAATATCACCGTCAGCTGCTTTTACCCCAAATCAAGACGCGTCAAGAAAACAAAAAAAAACAACTAAACCAATAACATACCAAAGGAAAATGGTGGAACCAAAATTAAAAATAGAAGAGTTTCATATCATTACAGGAGCTCAATGCTTACTTGCTTCATCCCATTCCCACAATGTACCCTACAGATGTGCATTGCATATGCAAAAATAATCTATTTTTCTTGGAAACTAATCCATGTTATCTAGAATAATTACCCGCATCTAAATCCCAAATAACCAGATCTAAATCCCAAATAGAGTTGTAGAAAAAATATCGGGATCCAAAAGAAACTTAGCTCAACTCAAGCTCAAATTGATCAAGTATCCCAAGCTCGTACCAACTCTCAGTCCTCAAATAAGCCAAGCCCAAGCTATTCATCTAAAGCATGGAGGCATATTCCAAAGCTCAAGCCAAATTCCAGTGCTTAACGGTTGTCTGGACAGCACAAACGCCATTTCCCCATAGCCCAAAACCACAAGCAAATTCTTGTATATGTTTTACTCTCGTAATGAAATAAAGCACAATTCTCCTGTGTTTTCAAGGGGAAAAAAACATGAGCAAATTTCTAGCCCAGCCAAAAGGCCCAATGTAAGTGGCACAGACTGACACTGCATTCCTAATCAATCCCAAGGCACACCTAGATTTGATCACACTCCAGCTCCTTGTTTTTCAAAGAGACAAAACTAAAGCCACAGACCTTGGTGGGCTGCTCAGTCCCGCCAATATTGTCAGTTTGTGCCATTTACCCGTATCTGCCTATATCCCAGATCAGACTCCCTTCCGAACCACGCGCCAACAAATAGCAATCACTATAATTGTTTTAAGAGATCTTTTACGGTCATTGAGAGGTGGACTATCTCAATACCTGCTAAGGACCCTAAAATTCATGTTGAAATTGTCTATTGTGAACTGGGCAAATAAATGTTCATGGACTGCTCAAGGGGCAGCTCCACCAATACCTTAGCGAATTCTTTATCTGCATCACTATGATCATTCTCTCTCCCAGCGGCATCACCAACATAGAAAGATCTGAAATAACATGGCAATTATCAAAAGGGCAGCTTATATAATGCACACAAAACAGACTAAAACAGCAGATTGTGTTTAGTGTTTTTTTGCACCAATAAAACTGAACTAAACCAAAAGGCTATAATCTATGAGACAAATTGTGCAATTGTAGACATATTGGATCAGTACTCATGTCCAGGGCTTGATCAAGCCCAATATGTGGATATTACAATACCATGGAGCCCTTATTATTTCCATAGGATTAGCAGCAACTCGGATCCTACAGATCCTAGTATGGAGTTGCATATGCTGAGCAACTTGAGAAAGTGTAAAGCTATTATGTTAGGTGGTAAATATTACACAATTTGCAACAATATTTCCATGTATATATATGTCACATGGACACCCTTGTCAATGACATCAACAAATATATAACGTATATGTAAGTTCTATACCCTGTCAACTAAAACAACAGGGATGTGACAGCAAAGAAAATCAAATCAACGTCCTGTTTCCTATCTGCAACACCCACTGGGTTCCTTCACTCGTAAGCTAAGATCTATCACTTCTACGCTAGCTTATATGGAACACACAGGACAGCATCTGCTTAAAGAATAGGACACACACAACTTAGCTGTAGCCATAAGCGCAAACAGATAGAAGCACCTATTCTAAGACACACGCAGCTCAATAAAAAAAATAATAAAACATGTGTCTCAGTCAATGACTGTACGTACAAAATCCACCTGTGGCCCAACCACAAGTGTGCACAGCATACAGAGAGTAAAGGAATGCCAACGTTAGCGCACTGAAGCTTCAACCGACCTTACAAACCAGCTCAAAATAGTAAATCTGAAATAATCTAAAATAGAGTGGTTACTTACTTGTCCATGTCAACTGTAACTCCCGAATTGAAATGCTCTCTCATCAACCACCACATTCCAGTGTTTGGTTTTCGAAATGGATCATCTGGAAAGGTTTTTCCTTTCCCTAAACCACATGCTATGAAAACCTGCAGGTGCAAACAAAATTAAATATTTGAAAGGAAACTATAAGAGAAGGGGGCATACTCCAAATGATAAGTCTTTGGCAATTAAGAGATTTTATACAACAAGACCAGACCAGGCTTTTACAAGATTGAAAGACCAAAACAAGTCATGTATCGTAATTATCAAAAACTCCCCAAAAAATGTCAAGCAAGAATTTACAAGGTACCATGTTATGTGTCATGAAAAAGAGCATTTTACAACATTTAATTGATTGAGCAATAAACAAAGGCCCGGTTCAGTTACCAGGACTATCATTATAGATAGTATATTTCTTCAGTTTATGATTGTTAAAAATATACAGAAATTCCAGATACATAATGCATTTGAACAAATGTGTAGCATACCTGAATAGGGACTTTTACACGTTCAATGAACTTGTCAAGACGCCCAATTTTGGAGTCAACAGCTTGCTGCCGCTTTTTGTTCCATCGTTCAATGTTCGACTCATTGGTGAATATGACCTGACAACACCAAATAAAATAAGTTGGCAGTATGATTTTACATAGCCTACTGGATTCCAGAGAAAATAGAGCAATAATTAACTAATTAAGTTAAGTGATTAGTTACTCTCTCTAGTCACATATACTTGTCGTTTTGGACAGCACGGTCTCCAAAATACAACTTTGACCACTTATTGTGTTGGAGTATATTCGTAAAACCCAACAGAGCTATGTTTTTATGGTAGCACTTTTCGAGGCTTACTTATATAAATGGTTTCGATGTATCCAATCTAGATACTTAAAAATATATCGGTACATAAAATTTCAGAGAGAGAGAGAAGGCATGTTCAAAGTGACAAGTACTTGTGACCAGAGAGAGTTTCTTATAACTGTTCTGAGGTTCTTAAGAACATTCTATGTGCATACTTAATTCGATGCAACGTACAGAGAGACGTGATGGAACTACAGTTATAGGCCCAAAAGAACTTGTAAAGACTAAAAAGCAACTAACCAATTTATAGCCATCATTGTACAGGATTTGCAGCTTTTCTGGAATCGATTCATACAGTAAAGACCACTTGTCTGCACCAACACTGCACTTGAAGTAGGTTGGAGCTTAACGATTGCATTCTTAAAAAAAGCAACAACATGTATAAGAGGTAATATCGTGCATCATGAACTCATGTGTAACAAGTCAATATTCTGGGAAAATACTATCCCATAAGTTATCTCTAAATCTGGCAATTGTTATGCTCAAGTTCATCAAAAGGTCCAGCATAAAACTTTTCAGGACTCGCATGTAGTGAATACTTCCTTATGCTAATTGATACCTTTGCTTGTAAAGGAAAAAAAAACTCCATTGTTGGCCATAAAAAATGGTAAGATTACTTTAATGTGGATTGGACTACTTATGTCATGCTTCTTTACAGCTATAGAAGAACTAAGACAAAACTAACAAATAGATCACATAATATCACAAAGCCCTAACACAAAACTGCTCGATCAATTCATAAATTCTAACCAAATACCATCCATACAGCTACAGCATAGTAACTCAAAAGCATATAGTACTATTTAGTAAGTCAAATTAAATGTGCCTTTCTAGGGTGTTCAAGCAGGTGTTTGATGAGATAGTCTACTCATTAGTTGCATATGCAGTGTGTTCCCCTGCAACTGGCCAAAGCATAAGACAAATATGTTCACTCCATGTGGTTCTGAACAGTCTGCTCATTTCGTTTCTTAATTGCCCAAGTGCCCTTACAACAAAGTTATGAAAAATAGATATAGCACACAGAAGAAGCATGCAGGCTACTCTTATAACAAAATAAATATCATATTTCCGAAAAACAAAATGTGTATGTATACATACATCCTCACTGAGGTTTTGGCGAGGCATCCATCAAAATCAAATGCAGCAATCTTAGCTGAAGACTGAAGGCCATCATCCTGAACATTAGAATTGCAAGTTATCCAGCTATACTCTTATTAAAAAAAAAAGGCAATGGTGATGGCAGTGAATCTGCCACCCACCAACTCTATTGTATATCTTTTACCAACTAATTCTTTCATGTACTTTAATATTATAAAATAGTCCTTCTGCATGGGTATATTATGCAAACACGTCTACAGGGTAGAATTGTTCTTAAAAACCTCAGAATTGATTTGCTCCAAACAATAATAGCATGTCTATAATTTATATTTATCCGTAGCAAAGCACGGGTATAGCTAGTCTTCTGTGTGCATGGTTTAATTCATATAATAATTAGAAAATGAGGCTCAAGAACTGCTCCTTTCTTTTATAAATTTTGCTTAACACACCTGCTCACGAAATATAACTGTATTGAAAACCTTCCAATGCGCTGGAAGGGTAGCATCCTGCATCCACACATGACAGGAAAATGGAGATGTAGCATTTCAGTATAACAAAATGATAAACATAGGAAGCAGAGTGACTTGATAAGAACAATGGTATAAGAATACCTTATAATTTTGCTTTATATCAGAAACCGAAAAGGGTATCACTGGACCAGCTCTTTTGTCCCCTGCCAGCATCTGATAGGGAAAACAATACAAGATCTATAAATAATCATGCATGTTCAGCTTTGGAATCAAGCAAGACATTAAGGGGTTGTGTTATGGTTAAATAACATTCTTAGTACAGATATTTTGTCTTCTCTCTCCTTTCACGTTTCCCACTTACCACTCACAGGAGAGTAGTAGGGTCATGAATCAAGATCATTATGGGTAAACACCGCCAGAGGATAGCAGCATCGACTACTAGGAATGAGGAAAGGACTTAGATTGGGATGATAAACATTGTGTGTGGGTGGGGGTGGGGGTAGCTTAGACTAATTCTTCTTCGTTGCTTAAATCAATAGAGAAACATTCTCATCCTTGTATAGATGGATGGTATGACTTGACCCTTAAACTTAAGTAACTAACTAATTCTAGTTTATTATTATCTCCTAACACACTGCTACAGTACACACCGCTGTTTATTAGTCAGATGTTGTATCCATGGACCTCAGTCTCTCGGCTCAATGCCCATGAGGCCATGATATAGAGAGTAGAGATCTACAGGTTGGGGAAATGAATGGCAAATGTATAAACTATAGAGACAATTGTTACAGTCAATCATTGAAAGAACTCTCAAGGTAAAAGGATCGGCATTCAACATATCAAAGCCATGACTGCCAGCATTAACATGATGAAAATGCAAGTTGGATGCTAACAAATAATAAATGATGATACCTCTGCCTTATAAACAGACTATTCAAACAACAACAACAATTAAATGTCAGTAAGCAAAACTTTCAGGGAAACAAAGAACTAGAAATGTGCCATCTCTACAGACATTATAAGGGTTTAGGTATGGCTTCCAAAACTGAAAGAATACATGATTTCATCACCTTAACACCTTCGATATTATTTCCAGTGCCCTTAGAGTCTTCCATGCTGTGAACCTAGAAGGATCAAGGGTATAAAAGTTTGTATGTCATCACAAAGTTGAACTTGATGCTGGAGTGAACTGTAAGATGCTCATGTCTAATCAAAAGCTAACCACTTCCTTCTTCAGATTCTGTTCATTCAATTGATCAGTCACATTGCCATCTCTCTTACAATTCTGCAAATGAATATGGTGGATCAAAGTAAGTATTTCCTCCGGGTCGATAATACTTGTCGTTTTGGGAAAGGACACAGTCTCCAATAAACAACTTTGACCACTATTTTTTATTAGAATATATATAAAAACATCAATAAATATATTATTTTATTTAAGTACTTTTTAAGACACTACATATATGGTCACCTTATTTTTAAGACAAATATTTTAGATATTATTTATAGTCAATATTTTAAAAGTTTGATGATAACTTTGTCCAAAAAGACAAGTATTGTCAACCTAGAGGGAGTTCCACCAACTGAAAACTTGTTAGAAAGCAGTTAAGCAACAGTAACATTTAATAGAACACTTTCACAAACAACATAAAAAAAGCTTGTACTTCCTTTGTTCAGAAACAAATTAGCGACCTCTTTTCCTAATTTACAAGAGCTACAAACTGATGAGAAGAAAATTTCTAGGAATTCATATTGCCGCTTAATTTAAACTAGTTGTATGAGTGAGCAAATTGTTACCTCCAACTCCCGCAACTTATCACGGTCTTGATTCTGCGCCCACCCTCCAAAACCACAGTTAGTTTCCACAGAGAAGAAATAAAAGTATGAAACAGCTGAAAAAAAATCGAAGACCAAACCTCGATAGAATCAAACCCCTTAAGGTTCTCCACAGGGAATGCTGGGTAAGTTGATGAAGGGAAGCAGGCAATATGGTACCATTTTGTACTGTCAAAACCACGGGGATCACGAATAGAGGCGCCAAGACGGAGGGCACCTGCCGCAATACTCTCACTGCAACCCTTGCAGGTGGAGCGGCCAGACTTGGCATACTCAACTGAGATACTAACATTTTCTGCCACTCCTGGGCTGGCTTTTACTTTCTTTGGGCTTGACTCTTCAGTTGTCCCTACTGCAGTATGGTCTCTCTTACACGTCTGAAAATGAATAGTTTGGAATATTAAAGAGAAATAACCCAGTTGTATCCAAACTTTTGTAAAGATATCATTTGGTTTACTAATCCAAAATATGCATATGGCTTGCTAATCCAAAATAACTCCAAATGTAGCATTTTGGACAACAATCCAGATTACTTAAATTAATTTTCACCATAAGTTTATCAAGTATACTGAACATTACTCAAATGTACCATTACAAAAATTGAACAATATCATTTGGCAATCTACATTCCACTAGCATATAGTCATCCATCTGGTAGTCATAAAATATCGACCAGAAGCAGATTTGGCCACCTAACTGATAAGCCGTTTCAACAGGTAAGGAACAAATATCTGGTAGTCATAAAATATCGACCAGAAGCAGATTTGGCCACCTAACTGATAAGCCGTTTCAACAGGTAAGGAACAAATTACCTTGTTTAGCTCACGCACCTCCTCGCGATCCTCCTCCTGCACTCCCCCCAAAATCAACATATTAGCACCCGTAGGAAGCAAATGTAAACCGACTCAGAGCCCAAACCTTGATGGAGTCGAACCCCTTGACCTTCTCGACGGGGTCAATCGGGTGCGACGAGGAGGGGAAGCAAGCGACGTGGTACCACTTGGTGCTGTCGAAGCCGCGGGGGTCGCGGGCGGAGGCGCCCAGGCGGAGCGCGCCCTTGGCGATGCCCTCGCTGCATACTTTGCAGGAGGACCGACCGGACTTGGCGTACTCGACGGAGATGGTCGCCTTCGCGGCGGCGGACGCCGCCGGTGCGGTGGACATGGGGCCGCCGCGGGCGATGCGTGGGCGAGCGGCGGTAGAGACGAGGGGGCGGCTCGGGAGAGTTGGGCTCCTCCACCGGAGGAAGTAGACGAATGAGCGACGAGGAGCGGCCAGTGGCTACTAGGGTTTTGTGCCGTGGGGCGGGAATCGACGCCGCGACGGGAGTAGCGAGGGCACACGGCGCGGGAAGCAAAGAGGAGGATGGTGGGGCGGTGCGGTAGGGGGTGGGGGCGCGAGCCGCGGTGGTGGCTTCCTGCTTCGCTGCCGGCGTGGTGTTCTGGACTGCTGCTGGTGTTCGACGGTTTGTGGTGGGCTTAATAGCAGGCCAAATTTAAGGCCCATTAAGCTACTGCCTAATTCTGTGGCGTCGAAAAGTCACTAATTAAAGGCTTGTTCGGTTTGGAGTAAAAGTAAAGAGCTTTTCTTGCATAATGATTATAAAGATTAATTTCTATGGATGTTATTTAGTTTATACAAATAAAGTATAGAAAAACATAGAAAAATTTTCGTCCATTTAAACTTCTCGGGAATAATTGATGTGGATTGATGTGTACATACGTTCATATTTCTCCACTTTCATATTCCTACCTGTTGAAATTCCTTCAAATTGAATAAAGCCCAAAACCTTTTTTTTCCTACATGCTGCAGTGATTACTAGACTCTCCAAATATCCATTTGGTCAGCTTGTCAAATATTTACAGAATTAAATATGTCTTTCACTACAATAGACTCGCCATTGCACTCTCCAACCTGACAATCAGTCCTACTTGTCACTCTCTCTTTACTTCTTCCTCCCTCTATCCTTCCCCTCGCCACCATTTTCCCTCTCCACCCAACAGCAGCAGGCAGTGTGGGCAACAATAATGATGAGGTGCCAAGATGAGGAAGGGATTGGCGTGGGCTAGGCGTGTTGATGCTGCCATTGATGGAAATCGACGCAAGGAAGAGGAGGAAGAGGCAGCGATGCACACACGCACCAGCGACAGAGATGCAGACAATGGCGGTGCAGAGGAGGTCAGGGAAAGATGGTGGTGGTGACGAGTGGATAGGGGAAGGGTGGTGTCAGGCGACACCGACGACTTTCGGCAAAACCTATAGCAAAACTGTTTATGTATATGTTATAACACCATGATCTAAACATAAACATAATTAGTATACTATAACACCGATAGACATGTTATGACATCAACTAATCAATTTTTAGAATCCGTCGCTGCATGTCCGTTTCTTTTTTCTCGTGCATATGCTACTCACGGTAGCAACCACAGGTTACTGAACTCAAAGATCGCCTCCCCTTGCCAGTTCCAAGTCCTCTCGAGCCTAACAGTAACGTTGCCCTGTTCACTTATGGCCATTGATCAACACGTAACGACCAGGGGCGGATCCAGAAAAAAATAGTAGTGGGGGCTGAACAAATTACGCCAGCATAAATCGAAACATGTCTCACATGTAAATTGGCTAAATGTCAGTTCAAGGTACACATTGAATTAATGATATGTCGAGAATTTTGTCCATACCAAACCAATATCGAATAGATGACGTGTCACACCCAATCGTCTATTATTCTTCATGAGTAGTAATTTATACAAAGAAAAAGGCAAATTAACGAATAATCGAAACATACTTATTTTGGATTCAAATAATTTAGAGATTTAGGGAGGAATGGAGGCATAGAGCATACCACTAATTTCTGTTGAGGTACTAACATCTGACGCGCTTTCATATCTTCAAATTGTTGGATGATTTTTTCATCCGATTGAAAAAACCCTGACTTGGGTTTCTTTGGCTAACTTAAACACTCATTACTGGATGGAGGATCACTTTACTGGATGGAGGATCACTGCCATTTGTGTTGCTTAAACTAAAATAATACGTGAGCAATGTTCTTTTTGACATGTTGACAATCTAAAAATGTATAGAAAATAATTATAAGTTTCAAGCACAAGTGCACAACCTCATTAAGACACAATTTTAGACTATCTATTAGTATTAGAGGTTACTAGTTTACCGATTTCTAACTTCAAATCTTCAATCACAGTCACAGTAGGCTGCGACTGCGTCGTTGACTCGTTGCTGCCTTGCCGGCCACTGTGCCGCTGACCTGCTGCCTGCCTGCCTCAGCGCCTTGCGCCCTCGCGGCACCTCGCCAGCGAGCGGCTCGCCACCTTCCCGGCGGCGTGGCGGCGCAGGCGCTGGAGTGCTGGACCACCGCCTCCGCCTGGCCTGCCTCCTGTCTGGCCCATCGCCGGCTCACTGGATGCCGCCACGGCACCTTGCCGCTCGGCGCTCGCCAGCTTGCAGCTCACCGGAGGTCGCCACCTGCTCCGGGCATGCACTGGACCACCGAGGCACCGCCTGGCACGCCTCCCGTCTGGCCCCTCGCCGGACGCCACCGCCTGCTCGGCCGCCGCCCGCCGCCCGCGCCTATTCGCCTAGGGTTAGGGATTTAGGAGAGGAGGAGGTGGCCAGTGGGATTGGGGAATTGGGGAGGCGGGAGGCCGGGAGGGGGAGTAGCCAAATGGGCCGGCTGGAATCTGCCACCGTGGGCCTTTGCTTGGAGTGGGCTAGACAAAACTTGAAGACTGCGCTCGTGGTCGTGGGCTGCTCTTCGAAACAAGCCCAAATCGCGAAATAACATCGTCTTCAACCTCCAGCCTTCCCTCCAGCCAACCTGACGAAGCTCCAGCCACCACATCTCGTGAAAAATTTTAGTGGGGGCTTAGGGGGGTCTCCATAGACCCTGGGGCGGTAGTGGGGTCTCAAGACCCCCCCGCCCCCATGGCAAATCCGCCCCTGGTAACGACACAGGCATGCCGATGATGCATCCCCTCCCGTAAAAGAACAGAAGAAGAGCATATGCACCCCTTTGATAAGAAAACGGCCCCGGCTGCTGCAGGTGGCCCGTCGCCGTCGGTCAAAGCACTTTATGTTGCTTCCTCAAGCTCCCTATAACAGCCTAAGGCAGTGGTCTAAAAGAGAAAAACAATGACTTCTCTGAACGCGATCATCAAATAATCAAATGGATTAACGATCGGGCGTCGCGTGAGCGAGCAGGAGAAGACTGTCATGACTCATGAGAGCATCCTCACCGCCATGCTAATACAAATGTGCATAATATTATCCGTGTGGTGCGGGACGACGCGGCATTCTCTTGTTTTGGGAGCTTATCCGGATAAGTGACAGCTGGATTTTTTTACCTTTTTGAAAACTTATTCTATAGATAGATTATTGAAAAAAAAAGCTAATTGGTCTTTTTTTGCCAGAGTGGCTGGAGAGTGTCAGACATGCTGGTGCCCGCCCCTTCTCCAATATGGTTGGCACTCTCCTGGCACGTTAGCATCGGCTTGTCCCCGTGGTGCCACGGTGGCACGTGGACGATGCCAGTCACTCTAGCGCAACAAAAAGAGTCATTCCAAGAATTAGTGGTTGATGTGACATGAGTAGCACCCTAAGGTCTTGAGTTCAAATCTCTGTATGAGCGAATTTTAGATTGGGTTATTTGAGGGCTAAGTTTCTCATTTGATAGGTTAAGTTCCTAATTTAAAAAGATTACATATATCCTGTTGAATGTAAAAGGTCGGGTAAAAAATACCCTTCTCTAAAAAAAATTAGTTTTTTCAGGGATCTATTTGTATAATAAGTTTTTAAAAGAACTAAAATATAAAAAATCCATGTAAGTGAAGGGAGCCGAGCTCAATCAAATCACTCGGGGCTGTGGATTATGTGAGGGGAGAATGATCGGGACGGAGTCACTTCAGTGTTGTCGCTTGCAATGCTCTGGTAAAAGATCGTTTCGTTAGCCGTAGGCTTGCGTTGCTCGTAAGCTTCGACTTGGGCGTACGGCGTGCTGATTTTCAGTAACTGGCCGTCTGTCATGATCCATCGGTTTCTACTTTTCTAGCGATAAGTAAAACATTGTGTGTCAGTGTGTCTGTATATGCTCCGAATGTTATGCTTTCTTTTTTTTAGAACCGAGTCATGATCCACATGTTTATTTAGCTCAAAGCCAAAAGAGAAACCTGAACCGGCGATCCGGAAACAGAGTTCCGTTCTGAATTTCTGGTGAGTCATCTGCTGAAGCACGCACAAACTTCTGACAGACTGAAGAAATCCATGTCATTGGCATGTCGCCCCTGCCATCGCAATCTCTGCAACCCCACAATAGTTCCCATCTGTGGCCTTCCCTTTTTAAAATTCCTCCACTCTCCAGCGAGGCAGCGAATACGTATGCATCTGCTCCACTCCACACTCGCGCGCACGGCATGCTTGACGACGCTCCACAAAACCCCCCATCTTGGCCATTTGCCCCTTGCACACTGCACGGCTGCAGCGCCATGGATCACTCCAACTCGCCTCCCGTCCCTGACATTGGCAGCTTCTCCTACAGCTGGCCGACTAACAAGCCGCTCGCGCGCGCCGACGACGACACGCACGCGCGGGGATGCAGCTTCGACTTCTCGCCGCCGTCGTTCGAGTGCTCCAAGCAAGCCGCGGCGATGGCCCACGCCGACCAGATGTTCCGCGACGGCCTTCTCCTCCCACTGCGAGCCGTACGGCGTCAGGGAGGCGGCGGCGGCGGCGACGACGACGGCGGCGGCGGCGACGTCAGCGGCGCCCCCAAGCGGGACGCTATCCCGGTGCTCCTGCGGCCGCGCTATGTGGACTCGGCCCAGAGGATCACGACGACGATCCCCGCGAGCAAGCGCCACCTGCTGCCCCGGCTGGCGTCGCCAAGTTCCCCGCGTTCGTCTCTCCGCGTTGCGGCGGCTCCGGGGTGGTCGCCGAGCTCCGTCCTCGGACTCGGGGCGAGCAACAAGCTCAGGCTGCCGTCCTTGGGGAGGAGGTGCGGCCGCGTGCTGCCGAGGCGGCTCTCGTGCAAGTGTCTGACGTTCCTGGAACCGCTATATCAGAAGATGGCGAGCTGCTGTGTCGGGAGAAGGATCACGACGAGGCACGCTTATGGCCGTGCCGCCGCCGATGAGTCCCGCAATATTAAGGTGTGCGAGGATGCAATCAGGGACGCTATTCTGCACTGCAAAACATCACTCTAGATGATCACGCAGGGGGCACCTGGAATGCACGCAGGCTAGAGCTTGGGCCTTTTGGGCTGGAGCTTGCAATGTGTTACTATTGATCTTTATGCTTTGCCGTAGATAAGATTTGAAATCTTTTTTTTAATGGAATCAGCACGAGATTGTGCTTTTTCATTAAATATATAGCAAGAGAAAAATATAGCCCTAATTAAGATGGTATACTATACAAAGTACGGAATAAGCTCTCTAAGACACTTAACGCCTGCCAAGGCCCACATGCTAGCCTCTTTTTTTTTATCTTTGCAAGGAGGTGTGAAATTACGACCTCCTTATGCTCAAATATCCGCAGGTTTCGCTCCTTCCAAACTTCAAAGTCCCTTCTTGGGAACACTAAACACAGAGGCCGGTATTTCCCACCGTTCTTTGACCGATTGAGCTGCCCCCCAATGTCAGGGTTCCAGCTGATGAAAGCCTACCCACGTCGCTACGAGGCTCCAAATCCTTTTCGTGTATTTGCACTCAGCGATGAGGTGCAGAGCCGTTTCATCCTCTCCCTAGCACCTCCCGTTATTCTGCCCACCCCTGGTCGCAAGCCAATCAGAGGTCCAAACCCTGTTCTGTATGATAAGCCAAGCATGGAGTTTGCATTTTCTAGCTGCCCAGACTTTCCAAATCAACGAGTCAAATGTTGTATTAGGCGCGCTAATACACTGTGCTTTGTAGGCTGACGAAGCCTAGTACTACCCATGAGGAGTGAACTTCCATGAGATTTGGTCAAGCTCTTCTTCATCTAACTGCACATCACAAACTGTAGTCCATAGGGCCTCCAGTTGCTCCACAAGGGCCACTGTGATTACTGGGTTTGCTTCCAACGATAGATCTCCTACCCAGGCATAGTTCTCCTTTCCTTGGAGCATGGTCTTTTTCCTCTTCCCAGAGATTGCGTAGACTAGAGGCATGTGGTCATTTGGTCTTCTCCCATCTATCCATGTGGAGTCACGAATAGGCTCTTATCTACTTCATCCTAGGGGGTCTCGAAGCCAACCCATGGCTTGTTTGGGTCCTTCTATTCGTGCCACAGCCAACGTAGTCACAGAGCTCTCGTGAATTTTTCCAAGTTCAGGACCCCAAGACCTCCTTAAATTGACTTTGCATTTTCCTCCTGTGATGTCACCCGTGCCGGTCCAAAGGAAACGTCACCGCAAGATTTGAAATCTTTAGCATGACAATGAGACACTAAAATGTGTTTCCGCAAAGTTGCATGCACGGATATAAGATGACGTCTTCTTCGTTAAACAACAAATATTTTGATCATATTATCATAATATCACAAAACTATCTATACTATTATAAAAAACAATAGTGGTAGTTCCGTCACTATTTTTTACCTTTTGTAAATGTGTACTTTATATTTTCTAATATTATTTATACAATAGTATAATATTTCTATGACATCTTACTATAGATTTAAAAAATATAAAACACAATTACAGTTTAAGACTAAGTAGAGTTAAAAACATATTCAAGTTTATAATTAAATTGACGTCAAACTTATAGTTTTGTGATAACTTTATTACTAAATTCATGATACTCCACCTTAAATTTGGTTATGATGAATTTGGTGTCAAATTTATAGCTTATGATACATCATTTTAAATCTATAGCTTCACAATAATTTAGCAAAAATATCTTTATTTTGTAAAATGTACTCATCAAACTATCAAAACGTTCCAGCTGCTAATACAAAAATACAAAAATCATTGTTATAGCTCATGGCCTATTTGTCCAACAAGGGTAGCATAATCACCTTTCTTTTAACCAAAGTCAAGATGGATAGTGTACTGTTTCTGGCAAGGGAAGAAAATAAACAAGTACGCCACGCCCTCCGTTAAAAAAAATAAAATAATCTTCTGATAAGAGTAAAATACACCAGCGGTCCTTAACCTTGTTGTGAGGTTTCACTTAGGTCCACGAACTTGTAAAACGCACGTTGAGGTCACTAAACTTGGTTTATTGTATTATCCCGGTCCAAAATCTCATTTGACTGTGGTCTTGCCAACGTGGCACGCCACGCGGACGATGACATGAAATTTTTTTCTCCCTTCTTCTCTTTTTTTTCTCCCTTCTTCCTTTTTTTTTCTCTCCGGTGGCCGCTGCACCGCGAGCGCGCGACAGGAGGGAGGACAGTGGCGCTGATGGGAGGGAGGGAGACGGCGGCGATTCGGGGAGGAGGACGGTGACGCTAACGAGAGGGAGGGGCCGCCGACGCGTGCAACCCGGCCTGCCGCGCTCGGCCCCGTCGTCGCCGCTCGCTGGGGGGGGCGACCTCGGGAGGACCAGGCGTCAGTGACGGCACCGCCGGCCTGCTGCACGCGCTCCACTTCTCGCAGCAGAGGGCGACGCCGGGGATGCTGCCGGTGGTGGCCGCAGGGCTGGACGGCGTGCGGCAGCCGTCGGTAATGGAGATGGTGACCGCCGTGCTCGCCCGACAAGTCCTGGGCGACGACGCCGAAGCAACAAGGACCACCGGCTCCAACGAGATTCGGGCCAGAGAGAGAGGTAGAAGAAGGCGGTGCGTCGAAGGGATCCTCGCTGATGAAGGGATCATCGTAGGTGACCCATGAGCTTCACCTGGAGCTCCTCGATCCCACCGTCGAAGGGATCCTCGCTGATGATGACCTGCTTGGTGGCGGCGGCGTCGGCGCCACCCCTACGGAGAGACGACGAGCGTTGACAATCGCGTGTGGCGGCGTCCCCACCCGCCGGCTCCACTCCCACAGGCAGCTCAACTGGGGTATAAGCCAAACGTCTTCTCCTTCTGGATCCTTTTTCTTCAACTGAGGTTGATTGATTATTGCAAGGTGAGCATATGACATACTCAGCAAGCCACACAGCAAATATGCAAGTGCACAAGGATACCAAAGGATGGCATAATATAGGCTCATTTGCAAAAGCAGCTTTTAGCAAAACATTTAAGAGAAGTAAAACAGTGGAGTAATTAATCAGAAATTTTAATCAACACTGAACAACACACCCATGCTGCACAGGCCCAACCATCCTGAACAACCATACCCGGCTGTACAAATCTAACTCCAAACCAGGAGCTAAGCAAATTATTACCAGGTATAACATCCATAATTATTGTGAGAGGTGTGAGACTAATCACGAAAAACATTGCTCAACCCGCCCATAATCGCGGGCACGGCTATTCGAATAGTTTTACTCTGGCCAGAGGTGTACCACTGTACCCACAAGACACAGCCCCACAACATGTCACCATGTGCCTCAATACCACCACGGTACCTTGGAAAGGAGCTGTGACAATACCCCTTGCACAACACAATCCACCACAGCGCACCTTTCCTGGATCATAATCACCCCCTTATAAACAAGGCATGGACTCCCCAGCGACCCCCGTGGGCTTATCTCTGCCACTTCTCAGTCTGGTGCTCCGCAATGAATCATGCTATACAAAAGGTAAAGCCGTTGCCCACGCTGGCTTGTGGTTGGCACGGTTAATGTTTCACAACAGTAGCTCGCGAACCGGTCCTTAATTGTCATGAGCACGACTCTCAAAACCATGTGCTCACAACCCACCATTATCAAGTTTTAGTTGGCAAGTAATTAATTTACCAATCACGATTGACCATCGTGAACTATCATTAAATCATCATTAAGTAATAGTGAATCATAAGTTATCCCAATAATGTGCTAATGTTTCTAAGCATGGCTAAGCAATCATATCTAATATCTAGCTGAACCAATATATACATAGTCCAACTAGTCAAGTTATAATATCCCAAGGTATCAAGGAATAGAATAATCAATGCAAACAGGCCATAACAAAGGAATAGATTCACACCACCCAATGACATTCGAAAATAAATGCACAGTTGAAATAAATAGAGAATTTAAATATAGGATCAACATGCTCAAAGGATTGTGTTTAGGATCTGTGTGACTTGCCTTGCAATAATCGGTCTTCAATTAATCTTCTTGAACACTTCTGACGCACTCGCGAACCTTCGCAACGACGGAAACGACAAGCTAACACGCAAAACAAGGAAAAGACTAATAAAAACCAAATAAACAATACATAAAAAGTAAACAAACAAGTAGATCATAATTTTAGATGAATTATGAGACTTGAACGGCCTCATTCTGACTTCAAATGAATTTATTATGAATTTTACTATATTAAATCTAATTAAAGCCCATTTAAAAAGAATTAAATAAATTTAATTCAATTTATGGATAATTTTAATATGTAGATCTTTATTTTATACAACTTTTGCAACTTGAACCACATTAAACTGAGTTACAATGAATTAGTTATGAATTTTCAAAGATTAAATCGGATTAAAGCATTTATATGGATTTTAATTGAATTATGACGCAATAATGAATTATTTTTGAAAAGGAAAAGGAGGATTATTGCGTCATCAAAGGCGGTCCGGGTGCACGGGACGGTCTAAGGAAACGAACGGCCGAGATCGATTCTATCCAAAACGGGCGGCCGAGATCCATCGGTCCACGACCGGGCCACGGGGAACGGCAACGATGACGTCAGCGATGACGTCAGCACCGGCGGCGGTTCGGCAACGCATGCTCGCCGGCGAACGACGGCGCGACGACGCAAACGGAGGACACCAACGGGTAGAGGGCGACGCGGCGAACTCACCGGTGACCAAAACAACGGCGGAAGAGCAACGGACGGCGCCGACGACGAGGAAGAAGCGGCGACGGTCTTCGGCTTGACGATGACGGCGATGCTCCGGCGGTCTTCAGCGACGGCGAAGGGGCGGACGAGGACGGCGACGCGACGGCGACCACGATGGCGACCTTCCCGAGCGACGGCGACGACTGGAACAACGGCGAAGCACGGCTGGAGCGACGGCGACGACGACGGCACGAGGTTACACGGTGCTAGGGCGCTACCGACGGCAAGAGACGAAGGCGAGGGTGGCGACGGGTAGCGGCGGGCTTGGGGATCCTTTTATAGGGGTTGGAAGGCTGTGGCGAAGGCCCACGGCGACCGGCGACGAGAAGGAAAGGTTAGGGTTCGGAGGAGAGAGACCGATCCGAATCGAACTCGAATCCACGGATTTCCAAAGCGATTTAGAGGATGATTCCAAAAGAGAAAAGGTAGAGGAAATCTCGGGAAACATTTCCCCTCAAACGATTTCACCGGAAACGAAAAGGATCGACCGGATTGGAAAGTGGCGGCGGCTAGGGTTTCGGCCGGCAGCGGCGCGAGGAGGAAGACGGGCCTGACAGGTGGGGCCCACCTGTCAGCGACAGCGAGAGAGAGAGAGGAGAGCGGCGGCTCGGTTGCGGACTGGGCCGACTTGGGCCGGGGAGAGAGAGAAGGTTTTGGGCCGACTTTCGGCCCAAAGCCAAAAGGTGGATTTAAAAACATTTTTCTGTTTAAATTATTCATGAAATGCAATTCCATTGATTAAAAATACTTCCTTGGCTCAAATAAATCCCAGAAAAATCTAGGAATTATAGAATTAAGCAAAGTATTTAACAAAATTTTATCTAGCCCAATTTTATATTGAGATTTAACAAATTAAAATTAGATCTTCTCTTTTAAGATCATTTCTAATTATTCCTTTTAAACAACAATTTATAATTTAAGGATTTTTAAACAAGAAAAGCTCTTAACAATTATAATTAGATCATTATTGATCAAATAATTACTGAACTGTTTTTTGTATCATTTAGGAATTGAGCTCTGAAAAATCCGAGAAAATTTCAGAGAGTTGACTTAATCATGGAGAATTTAATAAAAATTAAATCCATCCATGCTTTATATTTGGGAAATTTTATTTCCCACATTTAACTTCACTTGTAAATTAAAGATCATTTAATATAAATTCTAATAATAATTTATTAAATAATTTATAAATCCTGAAACAAAAATCAGGATGTGACACATGGTTTCCTCTCTTTCCTCATTTATTCACTTGCCATCTCATTTTTTATTCTAGGTGACAGCTTATTTAATACTACTATGAACATCATTCTAGTTATTGGGTTGAGAATGCCCTTATCGAAGGAGGATAGTAGCCGTCGCTGTTCCTTCGTGTCGGTCTATTTCATTTTCTTGTTTTCAAATGAGATAGGCATATATTTGTAGTGCCCCTATTTCTTTTTCCAATGACATAAGCATATTTATTGTATCACACATTAAGACTTGAAATAAATAAGTTTGCCTTTTATTTTACAGTTCTAAATTAAATTGTTAACTAGCCCTTTCGTTTTACCGTGCTAAATTAAATTATTGACTAGAAACTGAGCAGTCGATTCAATTCTCGTTAGCTTGGTGACAAAACAAATACTAGGGAGAGTAGTTTTGAAGGGTGATAAAATATTCCCCTGCCAATAGTAATGCGGTTTCGCTATAAATCTTGCGACAGATTTCTTGTTACATATCATTCGATTTTTGGACCGTTTGATTGCATCAAGATTCGTGCTCACACGGGTGAGGTGGGAAAATAAAAGGTGAGTGTTCACGTGTAGGCGTGGAGTCGACCGCACGATCTCTTGTTGCCCAAGAGAAGGCATTTTACCAACTGAGCAAGCAACCAAATGTTATGTTATCTTTGTATCCAAATAACAAACTTACATACTAGTTACATATTAATTACAGTGTAATTACGAAAATTACAGTGTAACTTTTTAATGCATATGATTAATTACAGTGTAACTATACTAAAATTATACTAAAACAGTGCAAGTTTTTAATTCATATGTTGATGATATTTTTCTTTTTTTATTAAACCTCTTTAGACTTATAACTGTCAGATTGGACCCGTTGTTACGATTAAGCTAGCCCGTGGGGCACATCCATATGTTGAAAAATCCGAGTGAGATGGATGAAAAAAACATTCGAATGTTTGCTAGGCAATATTCCAACAAAACCTAATGAGATACACAGAAAGACCAGGAATACTCTCCCGAGTCCTGACGGCTCCCATCGCGAAGGACCCAAAATAGCTTCCCAGCCCAAAAACCAGTAGAGATTAGACAAGAACAGAGTTTACAAAACCAGTTTACAAAACCGTATAGTTATCACGCACGATAACCTTTTCGGTTTTCAAAACCAAAACCATAGTATACCTTACGGTAGCCGGACAGTATTCGCGTTTACCAGCATGCACAAAAGAAAGCGGTTTCCACGCCTGCATTATTCTTTATAACACTAGCACTCAAAAGTTCCTAAACGGCTTGAAAAGAGGAATTTAATCCACATATCAGAAGATCACAAATGATGCTAAGCTTCAAACCCAGATAGTATCAAGCGACAAAATGGGCTTTTTTATATCAATCATAACAACCGCACAAAATGCAAATGCAAAACTGGCCAACTTCAATTCATATGTTATAAGGAAAAACAACAGTTTCTCATCATAACAACGGCTGGGAATGGCCACAGAAGGCATTGACTCGTAATTGGAAGTACCACATTGACTATAATATCAAAATCTTATAGTAGGCATAATATGGAATCCCAAAAGAAACCAAACAATTAAGCCCATCAAGGTTAATTTTTGAGCTGCTTCATCCTAGAATATCAACCAGAGCCCTCAGCCCATGGATTAAAATGCTTTGAAATACAGACAATCATTCAAGCATTGTACGGCATGGCATAATGTATTTCTGAAGGTTATAATGTTAGAGTTTTCAACTTTATCGAATAACCCTCTGCTGGGACCTTCACTTTCAAGTTAATTCCAACATGACCTCTCTGAAGACGGACCAGATTACCAGATTTCATATCAGCAAACAAAGTAATACCATAATACATCCCACTAGCCTAAAACCGGTAAAAAACATAAAGCCATGAAACAATATATCACAAGGTTCACTTGGGGCATTGATAGTACCATAATACTTCTAGCATCCAGATATAGTAACTATGCTTAAAGTTGAACATGAAAGGGGGGAAAAGATCAGCAGATTTGAGCCAGCATTGCTCAACTCCACAAAAGATTGCACGCCACAACCATCTGCCACCACATAACAACTATCAGCCATGCTAGAAGGCTAGAACTGCCCATGCAAGTATATATTATCAACTAGACACACACACAAGGACTCATAACCATCCTCCAAAATAAAAGTCGAGCAATAGTGATTAACACGGCTGCTGATTCATTGCAGGTACCTTCTACTAATCTAGTGCTTCTTATCTTTCAAAGGACCCTTGGGAATCTTCGATAGGCATTTCTCTTCAAAGAGGGCATAGTACTTCTTAAATTCAATCTCAGCCTTCTCACCAAAAGCATCAACCTTGTCCTCATACTTCTCATACAGTACTGGCACAGTGTAGAGCGCCACAAAAACTGCATTCAGCCCCAAAAAAAGGTTGTTATAAACTTGTATCAAATAGTTTGCCAAACTTAAGCTTCGCAGCACTGGTATCATTACCTATGTAGAACAAAGTCAAAAAGTTACAGCTGCTACCAAGAACTGACAGAATCCAGAGTCCAGCGATCACCTGATGATAGAAAGATAACAAGGCACATCAGCAGGCAATCAACAAGTGCCTAATGTTATGCATCACCGAGGATAAAGAGTCAGTTAACATACAATGAGGAACTTCTTCAGATCACGGCCATGACCAATCTCCCTCAAGGTTGCAAAACCTCTATTGATCTCATATCTCAGAGAAAGGGCAATGTTTACTGTCAAGTCCTCTGGAATTTTCACCTCAGGAATGTTTGGAGGGGACCTAAAAAATCAGTATAATAAGTTATGGCCACATACATGATAAGGAAAAACTTGACAACAGGGCACCACAAATACCAGCTGCGGGTCTAAAGCGCATCAGAGTCAAAGTACTACAGAAGCTCACTTGTGGATGAAAGTGGAGGCATTGGACCAGAGGAAGAGGACAGCCAGGGAGAGAATGAGGCAGTGGCACACCAAGGTGAGGAGGTGGTACTCCATGATCTCGAAGAGTAGCCAGATGGCCGTGGCTCCGGCGAGCACCCCACCGGAGATCTTCTTGTTCCTCCATAGCACGAGATCAGCAGCTGCAAGCACGCATTTATGTACAAACAATCAATCAAATAACTCCAAACACCAGAATAAACAGATAGGTGAGTAAATATTCCAGATCTATTTCAAGATCGGGATCAAACAAAATCTTATTTAGGGTTTAAGAGTAACGACAAGCTGCGCCGCCGTTTCACCACATCACTAATCAAATCAAATCGAACAAAGCAAATCTTGAGGTTTTAGTAGAGTCTGGAGATATAGATCCCCAAATCTCGGATTTAAACACTTATTTGCATCGCATATAGCTGCTAAATAGGTGAAGTAACAGTCGCAGGTAGAACAAGCGAGCCAAAAAAAAAAAGCGATCGGATCGGATCTACAGCAAAATAGAAGCGATGCTTTCGAATCCAAGCTACCAAGCAAGGGGCTTACGCTTGCCGCCGCCGAGGACGGAGTGGACGGGCCTCTCGCGGCCGAAGAGGCGGTAGATCTTGGCCTTCATGGCCGCCGCCGCCGACGACGAGGAGGAACCCTTCTTGTCGTCGTCCGAGTCCGAGGAAGACGACGAGGAGTCGCCGTGCAGCTTCTCGGAGAGCTTCTCCATCACCGACTGCTCCTCCTTGTGCTCAGCCATGCTGCTCCTCCTCCTCCCCCCTCTTCTTCTTCTTCTTCTTCTTCTTCTCCCCTCACTCTTCGCTTCCAAGAAATCACCCAAGCTTTTTCTCCGTGGCTTCAAACAGAGAGAGTTTGCTCCGACGAAAGTATCGGGTGCGTGTAGCCAGGCAAAGGTCGCTTTATACGGCGCGTGATGCGATCTCAACCGTCCGTTTGAACGCAGACGCCGCGGAGGATATTTGAGCCCAAACCCGTCTGAAATCTAACGGACGGGTTTACTACTTTTTGTCAGCGTGGCAGGTATACCCCGGCGCTTACCCCCATGGCTTAACGGCGAATCAATGCCGCGAGTACGGGGTAGGGCCCACATGCCAGTGACAAGGGTGGGATTAATGGTAGACGGTGGAGGGTACTACTACTTCGTGGTTAAGTTCAACGACGTGGACAGGAAGACGTCGTCATCGCGGGCACGTCGTTGCGGGCCCACGAGTAAAGGAGATGGTGGAGATCGCGAGGACGGCGTGGTTCGTCTGACGACACGTGCCGTCCGATGGGTTCTGCTCCGGCATCCGTCGGTGGACAGCGGTCAGGAGACGGTAGCCGAAGGGAAAAGGAGGAGATGGTCTCGTCTTGGTCCGAAGTTTCTAGACGCGCATGAAACTTTGAATTGGACAAGCCAAACACACAAACAAAGGGTTGCTGGCTTTTGTTTTTTTTATAACTGTTGCTGGCTATACTTGCTAGCTAAGGTGCTTGCTTGGCTGTGTTGGCAATAGCCAGTTCCCAACCCTAAACAGTATTTACGAAAAACGGAGTGATATATTAGCACGTGATTAATTAAATATTTGCTACTTTAAGAAAAATGGATCAATATGATTTTTTAAGCAACTTTCGTATATAAACTTTTTAAAAAAAACGCATTGTTTAGCAGTTTGAAAAACATGTGCGCGGAAAACGAGGGTGGAGAAAACTGGCTACCGAACACGGCCTTAGGGGGTTGGACTAAAGTTTTGGAGAGAGGGACTAAACTTTAGTCCCTCACTCCCAAACACTCCCTTAATTGAGCAAATTCTCGATTCGTTAATTCTCCTAAAAATAAAATAGCCAGAAAAACCTTTATTTTGAACATATACCTTCTTCCCAGCGACAATATATGTTCCTAAGAAAAATCAATTTTTGCTATTCATTTGTCGACAAAATTTCTCTCAAAAATTTATCAAATATAAATATAGTGCGATCAACCTTATAGAGATGCCCATTAAGAGTAGGGTGTACGTATGTATAATTATATAGATGGGTAATTAAACACCTGCATTTGTATTGTATTTTAAAAAGGAAAATTTCCGATTTATCATGGTCATATGGTCAGAGACGTTTTACACTCTAGTCCCCCTGTCCATAAAAATTCAAATCTTGAAGATATGAATATGGATATAGTGTATATCCATATTCATCCACAAGATTTGTTTTTTATGCTTAGTCCAAATTCATCCCTATAATTTTCTTTTTTATAGCACAGAGGGAGTACTCTCCGAATAATTTACATAATTCTATGCAAAACGTCCGTGGCGTTAACCGTACTGGATATAGAGCTCTAAAACACCTTGAAATATCCTTAAACAAAGTTTTGTTTCCACACCAAACTTTCGACCCCCATATAAGGATTTTTGTTTTATACTAGTATCAACATCTATTTGTACTCATCACGAAAAACATGTTTGTACTTCCTAGTGCAAACTTCATATGCACATCACTCTAGTGAAAAACGCAATGTTTTGAACGCATACGCTCCATATGTATTTTTTTTAAAAAAAAAAGAAAAAAAACTACAATGTTCTGAATGGGCTAACCATTAGGCTCAATTGTAAGTCTTTATCCGGCCTGGAAGATTTCGACAGTCATACCTACCTCCAATTCTCCATGTGGGCCTTGGACCCTTGTACACCACATGTCCACATCAGCTACTGGACGTCCATACACAGCCCATCCACATATCGACACGTCCCGATGTTAAATTTGTGTATGGAATTCATAGACGTAGGTTGGTCGTGTTGGAATTAATAAATGGGGTAAGGCCTTAATTCTTTGAAAAATCACAGAAGCTCACCTCATGGGATGACATGCATATGGAGTTTAGTATCACCTTACTTATTCTAGGAGAGAGGGACCTCCTTAAAAGGGAGGATGTCCTCCTAGCCACTTGAAGCATGTGTGGTGGAGAGAAGAGGGGGAACACGCGCGTGCTCGCCTCGCCTGGCAGGCGTGCATCGAATGGTCCGCAAAATTGGCTCCTCACCCTTGCGCAAATGCAGCCTCCTTTTGCAGTTTTGTTTTGCTGCAGAAAAATTCGGATTTGTTTTGTTTTTGGAAACATTCCGAAAAATCCGGTGCGTGAAAATGGCGTGGAGACCGGATAAGTTACGCGCGACTTATCCGGTTCGGTTACGCGGAGTGGGGATTGTGCGGGCACCCTAATCAAGCGACCTATCTCTATATAAACCGAGCCGCCGCTTCTACACACACAAAATCAATCTACGGTTTGCCTCCTCCTATGTGCTGCACCGTCGCTCATAGACTACTCCATCCCGCTCGCCGGCGTGCACCTGCGAGATGGAGAGCAGGTCTCCGGAACCTCTGCCTTCGACGTCCTGCACCGGGAGAAGGCGGCAATAAGACTTTTGAGAAGCGCTTCGCGCGACTGCTCCCTGTTCGTCCGCGACGGCTCGCCTTCCTCTCCGCTCGCGTGCTGTGCAAATCTCCGTCGACGCCCGCAACCACGAGTAGTTCCTGCTGAGCAACCGGTCTTTCTGCCACCTCGGTACGTGTTCGACATGTTGCGCATATTTTATCTGTTTATATTTTACTGCTTAGTTTACATGTGTAGTGTAGATCTAATGATGCATTCAATCTATTTTACGTCTGCAATGTTATGATTTATTTATGAAATAAATTAAATTATCATGTGCTTATAATTTCAACAGGTCGATCGGTTGCTAAATCTGCAATAAACACATCTAGCACTTGCGTGCGGATTCCACTTCTCGCGTCGGCGACCAAAGCAGAGATGAGAAAAGGGGAACGGTTTATAAAGTACACATGTTCGCATCTAGTATCACACAATCGAAGAACCGGAGAACAATCATATCGTGCTTCAGCAAGAACAACGACAGCAAGAGCCTCGCAGAAAAAGAACAAGGGGACAAGAAGTAAGCCAGCAATTGGGATACACAGGTTACTAGGTTACTCACAGGTAAAGCCGTAATAAGTGGAGAGAGCCGACCCCCTCCGAGTTGTGGCGACGGAGACCCCGGTACATGGGCCATGGCGGAGGAAGGAAAGGAGCACCTCTGGGGCGGAGAAGAGCGGAGTGAGCTAATACTCGACCACGAGCTGAGCAACTGACGAAAGGCACGAAGGTGAGGCGTCAGGCGTCGAGCCAAAGAGAACACAAGATATACTGGGAACATGGGAATATGCTGCTTCGATGTGCCGATGCTCTAGCGGGCGATTCTGATGGCCGCCAGGGATATCCTATCATCGAATAAAATTTAAAAATTTAGAAATGTTGAGCGCAACAAAGTCGTTGTAGTATAGTGGTGAGTATTCCCGCCTGTCACGCGGGTGACCCGGGTTCGATCCCCGGCAACGGCGTAATAATTTACCTTTTTTGTCCACCTTTTTTTTGTCCAATATCTTTGTAATCCAACTCCTCCAATCATTTTGATGAAGCTTTAGGAACAGAATACTTGTAATCAACTCCTCCAGCCATTTTGAAGAAATGAAGCTTTATAAGATGCCTCACACAAGTAATTTTATTTTTTCCCCTAATATCCCTAGTAATCCAGCTTGAGATAGGAGGAAAAACAGCTCTCTTCCAGTCAATCATTTTGAAGCTTTTGGAAATCAGTTGAGATCCTCTGCGCTGCTGCATATTGCTCTGCAAGTGAGGAGTGTTACCCACTTACCTGTGAAGCACTGCAGAGGACATGTGTCCTTTGGAAATGCCTCAAATCAAATGAGTGCTTTGCTTAGCACAAATAGTCCTTTAGACGGTCGTCAGAAATAGAATTCGAGTTGGGACAAAAGCGGTGACGGAAATTTACAACCAACAGCGCATCGTTGTATAAAATATACCATTTTCGATTTTAGCTGTCCATAAAATTTGTTTTTTTCTAAAATTTCTTTCAGTGCCGTATTACAACCATCACTAAATAATTAAATTGGTAAATATAAAACCCTCAACCGGCCGATAATTGTTTCAGAATAAATGATATTGTTTAATTGTTTTCTCCTCTACTAAGCTGGAACAATGGGAGAGACCATTCTAAAGGCTTATTCGGTTTGAAGAAAAAGAAAAGGATTTGGATTCCTAAGAATTATTCCTACAAGCAGTATTCAGTTTGTAGGAATGATGTATAGAGAAACCAAATGAATTTTTTACTTTCCCTCCAAGTTGTAATAAAGAGAAAACATAGAAAAATTTCCATCCACTCAAATCTTATGAAAAAATTCTATTTATTGATATGTGCATACCTTCATATTCCTCCACTTTTCCTATACCTAGGAGCTGAAGTTCCTCTAAACTGAAGTTCTAAGGGTGTGTTCGGACCCAAGGGTTCCCAACACCTCTCCATCGTTTTCCGCGTACACGCTTTTCAAACTGCTAAACGGTGTGTTTTTTGCAAAAAGTTTCTATACAAAAATTGCTTAAAAAATCATATTGATTCATTTTTGAAAAAAAATTAGCTAATTTCTAATTAATCACGCGTTAATGGACCGCTCCGTTTTCCGTGCGAAGAAGATTTGTTCCCAACCTCCCCCAGCAAACACAGCCTAAGAGTGTGTTCATTCACCATCTTTCCCAACTTCTACTCTCTCATTTTAGTGAGGCTTTCAACTAGAAATCTCCCCTACTCCCTGACCTGCCAAATAAAATCGGGGAGAGACCACTAATTTTTCTAGTAGTAAGGCCTCAAGCTAGAGATCTCGTACTCAATTCGAATGGGCTAGATGAACTTGCTATGTAAGCGAAAAATGAAAGGATATGGGAATTTAACTGTTCGTTTATGCGTGTTTTTTTTCTCGTGACTCGTAAATGGTAAAAATGGTACAATTGTTAGCATCTTTTATGCATGTTTCTTCCTCGTGACTCATGAGTGATAACGATGGTAGCTAGATGATTAGCGCGAAAAGCAGTCGGAGTAGTCGGTTCACCAAGTAGTCAACGCAATATATGAAGGACATTGATATATGAAGGCGTAATTATATGGCGGTTTCATAAAAAGTAGAGATACATAGACATGCATATAAAGTATACATGCACCTGTTAACATCAAACTTGATAGCAAACCAAACACAATATATTTATTATTTTGGCAGTGCCAAAATTTATTACTCTAGTTCACAACAAACTGATGCCATTTTCCACCATACCATTTTTGGGTGAAGTTGCCAAAAAAAATATATACGTTTAGTTTGTTGCCAAATTTAGTAGATACATAAGAAATCCTGCCAAAATTTTGGCAATATTGTCATCTTGTCAAAATTTTAACATCGCCAAAATTTGATAAGGTTTATTTTGACTACAATCTAAACATGCCCCAAATATGATATAAGGTACTACCTGACCAAGCCAAAAGGCTGTTGTTGCCAATGCCTCGAGTAGTCAAAAGATATACGGACAACTATGCATAGACGGGTCCATCCTAAAAAAGCCAACCTAACATGAAATGTGACTCCTATACAATAAATCTGAGTCACGTTTCCTTCTAAGTTGTTTTTTTTACGGAGGGAGTATGTTTTCATTATGATTTAGGGCTTATTCGGAATAAAATAGAAAAACGTAGGAGTAGAAAAAAACACGAGAATATGATAAGATTTGCATGTGTACAGAGAGAATTGGAAAATAAAGGGATTTTTTGTTTTTTGTGCACAAGATTTTTACAAAGAGAATAGGTCAGGGTGGATTTTTTTTCATGTGAAAACATAAGTAGAGAATAGTGTTCCTCTTAAGAATCAAGGTAGCCAATCCTTTGAAAAGAATGAGTACCCCTCCATCTTTAAAAAAAAATCAAACCCTATATTAGAATGATTCAAATCTAGGGTATAATTTTTGTTTGACAGAGTAGCTAATTTAAAGGAAACCCTCCATTTATTCTTCGCATCTCCTGGAGATAAAGATGAAGATTAAGTGTTTCACGTAAAACGAGGTGGTAATAACATGTGATTAATTGAGTTTTAATTATTACAAACTTAAAAAATGGATAAATATGATATTTTAGAACAACTTTCTATAGTTTTCACACGAAATGTATCGTTTAGCACTTTAAAAAATATGCCATTTTAATAAAAAGTTTATCATCTAATTTTTCGATTAGAAAGGGTAAGGGTCATAATTTTTCGATTTATATATGTGGAGTGTGTGCTACAAGAGACGCTTGGGGTGTGTGTGAGTACGCTGGAGCGTGCGTACATCTTCCGTGCAATTGAAAAGGAGACAATGAAAGCAAGGCCTTGTATAGTTCCTAAATTTTTTTCCCACAAACATCACATATAATCTTTGAATATATATATAGAGCATTAAATATAGATAAAATAAAAAACTAATTGCACAGTTTGTATAGAAATCGCAAGACGAATCTTTTAAATCTAATTAGTCCATGATTAGTCATAAGCGCTACAGTAATTCACATATGCTAATGATAGATTAATTAGACTTAATAAATTCGTCTCACGGTTTACAGACGAGTCATGAAATTAGTTTTTTAATTTGTGTCCAAAAATCCCTTCCGACATCCAATCTAATACCAAATACTTTCTTTTCGCGAACTACACCAGAACCAAATACGTCTAATCCAACCGTGAGACAGGCCGTACTCCCCCCGTCGCTGGCGAGAGCTTGCCGTAGTCGGAAGGGAGGGGGCATGGAAAAGTCCACGATGATTACGTCCTGTCCTTCAGGACAGATCGTTCGAAACCAACGGCGCGCTGTTGCAAGTCCATCATCGAACGATCGACCCGTCCATCTCGGAGAAGGAACAACACCTCCAAAGACAGGCCATCTTCCGACGAATTGACCCCCTCCCCGCTCTTTCCAGAGGGCCGGGGGTAGCTAGCGGCGGGCGTAGCGCCAATTCGCAAACGTCAAACGAGTGAGATCCCACGTCGCAGCAAAAGCAAAATGAGTCCCTTTCTTTCCCTTTCCCTCCACCCTCGCGTCGTACTCGCGTCGTTCTCTTCTCCTTCCCTTCCCAGCAAAGCCGAGCCGCCGAGCAGGGCAGAGCAGAGCAAAACCCCCCATATCTCCCCGCCATTACTCCCCTCCCGTCCCGTCCCCGAGCGGAAATAAATGCAGCCGCTGGCGCCGCCCACCCACCAGTCCACCACCACCAGATCCAAGCCCCCGCGACGAGGCGAGGTGGGAGAGGGGGCAGAGGCAGAGCGAGATGAGCGTGGGGCGGAAAAATTCACCACGCCACCATACGCATTTACTCCGCTTCCGCCCCTACCCCCACGCGGCCTCGCCTCCGCCCAATGCCATTCCGCCGCTTCCCCGCTGAGAGATCGATCCCCACCGCGCCGCCGCCGCCGCAGCCGCAGCCGCAGCCGTCGCCATGTCCTCCTCATCCTCTTCGCTGCTCTCCTCGCTCGCCACGCTCGGCCTCGGGTACTCGATCGCCATCGCGCTGGGATTCCTCGTCCTGCTCGCGTCGCTCCTCCTCGCGTCATACTTCTGCTTCCGCCGCGGGGGCGGCGGCGGGCACTTCTCCGGCGTGCTCACCCCGAGCTCCAGCTCCAGCCACCTCTCCATCACCGTCCCGCGCGTGCTCTTCGTCGCGGAGGGGTCCGAGTCCCCCGACGCCTACTCCTCGGGCGTCGCGGCCGCGTCGTCCCCCGTGGGGCTCGACCCCGCGGCCATCGCGTCGTACCCGAAGGTCCCCTTCTACAGCGGCGCCGGCGCGGACGCCGACGCCATGTGCTCGATCTGCCTCAGCGAGTACGCGGACGGGGAGATGCTGCGCGTGATGCCCGACTGCAGGCACAGGTTCCACGTCTGCTGCCTCGACGCCTGGCTGCGCCGGAACGCGTCGTGCCCCGTGTGCAGGTCCTCGCCCATCCCCACGCCGGTGGCCACGCCGCTGGCGACGCCGCTGTCGGAGCTCGTCCCGCTCTCGCAGTACGCCGCCGATCGGAGGCGCAGCAGGTGACGGACACATTGGTGCAATTCGGTGCTCTTAAAAACTGGAGTACTACTATATTGCTCTTCTTTTTTTTATCCTTTTACGTTTATTAAGGATGTAAAGTTTATGTATTGCTTGATTGGTCAGGCGGGCTTTAGGGGAGGTTTGACTGTAGGGGGTTGTGCTTAGGTTATTTAGAGAAGGTAATTGTTTGTTTGATATTACTATATTACTTCGAGCAAATTTTGTCATCTAGAAGTACATGTCTTGAGTAAGGAATAGTTGTACATACATTGTGTTTGTTTCTGTGGCAGAGTTCCTCATGATATTCTAATGTATAATTTCCGTTGCTAGAGAATCATTTGCTGGATTAGAAATTAGAGAATTTGTTGCACAGCTTTGCTGTATTTTTTTTATGCCATGATGAGCTGTTTGTGAAGTTATGGGCTTTAATTGTTAGATTGGTGGCAGCATCAATATCTGATGATTACTTATGAATTTCATTGTTGCACCAGTTTTTCTTACTGCCACACTGTAATAAGGACAGCATTAGAAAATTTTCTGCATTTCATGTTGGCATTTGGTGTGTTAAGTAGTTGTACACCATACCTGCAAGTACATTACTATAACTAGCAAGCTCAGTGACATAATTCTTCATTAAAACTATTTATCAGTGTAGGAATTTTATGGGTCCCAATTTCCCAAAGACTTTTATCACTCTATGGTAGATGAGCTGGACCGTCGATGCCCAACAATTAAATGAAATGTTGATTGCTACATCAGAATTCAGTTCTCATAGTTCCCTAACTTGTTTGGCTGTGCAAACATATGGTTATGTGGTTTTTTTCAAGGTCATATGATCATGTTGCTATATATTTGCAATCATTTTTTTATTAAAAGGTCACAAAAGTTTATTTGTGTACGCCAACTCTTTCCCTCAGTTTACTATGTAGCAGTACCACATTTTAAAGCTTCTATCTAGATGTTCCTGTCTTGGTAATGATATCTACAGTGGTGGGGTCCTGGAAAGAGGAGTTTAGATATATAGACACTGTCAAAGTTTATAAAATGAACTTGATACTTGGGGGTCTACTGCTAATTAGTTATTAGTTCATAACTGAAGATTTGGAATATCTAACCATATAAAGTGAAACCAATGCAAATCATGAAGTGCCTGCTGACCATATATCTCTTCCCTCATATTAATCAGATTAAAATAGAAGTCATTTTGTGTAAATGTTAACCTACTGTGCTTGTTGTTTCTCTCCATGCAATAAATATGAAGTGTGATCTTTTTGGTACAAAACCAATTGATCCTTGCTATCCCCATCTCATATTGTACTTCTGTTGGCTAGCCAACATTTCTAGGTGCCATTAGAGGTACTCCACACGGTTTGCAGAAATTCCTAGCAAATTAAAACGGTGAAGAAAAACTTGAGTGTCTTTGTGGGGGTAGGCACAGGAAAACAATAATAATACATGGGAATGGAAACTATAAATCTAATATACCACATGCAAAATATTTGTGAAACTTTTGCTTTTCTTATTAGTGATGGACTACCTTGTGCAATCTTGCTATTCCTTGTAAGGTACAGTAGATTATTTAAGCTACTTTCTGCTGATTTTGATATCTAACAAGCTTCAGGATTGAAATCCTGTGGTAGATGGTTAGGAACTTAGGTGTTGTCCTTGATTCCCTAATTCAACTTTTGCAATCATTCCTTTTGACAATATGTTTGTCACTGTGAGCTATGAGGTGAATGTTTAGCATTCTTCTTTTATGGTCTTATGGCGAGGAAGTGTTGTAGCTTCATTTCTTCATTATATTCCTTTTTTGGCAAGGACTTCTTCTATTATTCTTGTGGGCTCGTGGTTACTGCAGTTATTTTTTGATTGATACCTCTTGCATTTTTTCCCTCAATACAACTTATGTTATATTTGTAACAGTACTTGATATTTTGATAACTGAATCATAACAAACTAAACCAGTATATATCCGACGGCTCCTATTTTTTAGAATGACGTGTGCCAATGAGATGTTGAGAAAGCTTACTGTTTCATTACTTTAGATTCTTGAGGCAATGTCTATTGGGATTTGAACCCTTGAACATAAGGGATCTATCTCCTGATCCGTATGTATGGTGCCGTTACAGTGACTTACGGCTCTCAGTTGTAATACGTACTGTTTAGTTGTAATCTGCAAACTTCCCTGGGCGTAAGAGAGAGTTCTAAGTATTGTAATCTGCACACTTCTATAGGCTACTATACTTGCCTATCTTCATCTATGGGTCTGCTCATGTTGATCTGTGAGTCGGTACGTTACATCTTCCGTACCCAAATTAATGAATTATGAGAGCGAAAGGTTACCTGCTTCAAGATTTGTGATAATACTATATAGTCTCCAGGCCTTGTGCTGTGGTACATGCTTGTACCAGAATACCGGATGGAATTATATTTGCTTTTGAAGGGTTGCAGGGCCAGCCAAGCCAAAAGCGTCGGTCAGTCAGTCTGAACTCTGAAGCCTGTAGCTTGTGTACACCGTTTCTTTTTGCTACTACTCCATTTGTCACTGATGCCACACTTGCCCCTTTTCTTTTCCAATGCTGCAGCCGCTTGAAATGAACTGTGCTGAATCGGCATTCGGCAAGCGACGGTGGAGCACGGGTGCATCGTGACGAGGATGACACTATCACGCCGGTGAGCACTGAGCAGGGTGACGATGTCGGCGATTCGTAGTACAGGCGTACTGCTACCGTATCCATCTACTGCTGCTTCCGGAATACGCGTCTGCCAGTTCCATCATGTGCGGCTTGGCTGGCTCCCACGCGGAGCTGGAAACGGTCGGCAGGAGGGGACAATGAGCTGGGTGGTTGCCGGTCGGGGGTGTGTACACTGTGCGCTGTACAAGTATACAGAGCTGCAGCAATTGCACGGCGTGGATTTTTCTTTAGTAATAAGAGAGCAAACTAGGAAATTTATAAGAGCAGTTGGGGTTGGGCCCTCAGCTAACACTGCGGTATTATAGCGTAGCCAAGTCGGGTAACTGTACGCGTAATAATGTCTTCTTTTTTTTTTGGAAAGACAGATACAGATGATATGGTAGTACTGCTAGTAGCTGCCACGGTGCAGTAGCGTTGTACTGGATTGGTACTTCACGCCCGACGAGCAAAGCTGCGACCATGGTAATGGTGCGGAGGATCGCGCTCCTCTGATGTAAAGTTAGCGGGACGTGCGCCACTTACGTTTGGGCCCAACCTTTATGGGTCCCACATGTCAGCGACAATGTCCTTCTGACGTTATGTTAGAGCAGACTCATCCCGATGCGGATTGAGATACTTTAACTTACTTCGTTTTAACTTGTGTCACTCTATCTAAGGGCATATACAACGATCCACTCTGCTATGTAGTCTCAAGCCTTTATGTCGGAGCTCAGCCGAGTTGGCAGCCAGTCGTGTGGTTCCACAGGACGTAACTGTGCTTGTAGAGGAAACAATTTCCTCTCCGTTCTTTAGTTCGGGAGGTGCAAAACCACTACTCGGGACCACGCATTGGGGGAGAACCGTAGCCTCGTGACGTGCTTAGGGAAAAGGAGAGGTCAAGGAGAACTTGCTGTGGTGATCGTCGCCGCCACCGAGGTCGCGTTGCCGCTCCATGTCGCCGATGAGGTCGTGTCGCCGCTCCAAGTCGCCACCGCTAAGGTCACCGCCGTTCACCACCGTCGCAGATCTAGCGAGGTCACCCTCGGATTCAGCTAGCTTGTGGCCAGATCCGCCGCTGCCAGTGGCCCCTCGACTGTCGCGAGAAGGGGGCGGGAGGGTAGAGGCCGACAGATGCGGCTAGATCTGCCGCCGTCGCCCAAAGAGAAGGAGAAAGGGAGAGCGACACGTCGGACGAAGAGGAGGAAAAGGGGAGAGCCGCCCTCAAAGCTCGCTGCGGTGGATGGGGAGGAGGATAATGGCGGTAGAAAAGGGAGGACTATGTAGCGGTGGATGGAGAGAGGGAGAGGCGGAGTACCTGATGGGGAGAGGCAACGCCAATTTGGTGGCGAAAGAGGAGGCGACGACGGCGAGACTCAGAGTCGGGGATTGGGTTCGGTGGCCGGTGGGGAATTGGGGAAGAGAGGAAGTGGGGTAGGTGAGAAAAAAAGAAAAGGAGGAGAGAATGATATTGGGTCCTTGTGTAGTTCAAGGGTATCTATCTATTTCTTTTTGTTGTTATAAGGTCCAAAATATAAAATTTCTAATTGATTCAATAACTAAGGACTGACGCATAAATAACCAGGAGCCGATAAAAAAAATATACTCGATAGTGATCTCCATTGTAGATTGTGTGACTTTCATGTGGTCTTATCCTATTTGGCACGTTGATACTATTGGTACAAGTGGCCTTCATTGTATATGCCCTAATGGGTTCACATATCAGTAACTTAAAATTAGAGAAAAATAAGTTAGAGGATTCTCGTCACCAACAATTTTGTGCAGCGATTATTTCTACACCCCCTCCTACCCTTGCGTCCTTGTCTCTTTTTCTGTACGAGTAAAGTGTGTGACATTCTTCAGCTCCCGTGAAGTGTCCGTGACTTGTATTTTGACCTTTTTTTTATTTTTATTTTGCGTTGGTAGTTCTTCTTTGACCTTCTGAGAAGTGTGACTGAGAAGGGGAAAATAAGTTATTAGACCTTCCGGCAGTCCAGGCTAATTTGAATACGGCCCATAAACCGGCCCAGTCTCAAGTGAAGTACCAAATGTCCAAGGTGCTAGTCCTTCGACCTTACAGAATGCAGACTTCCATTTCGTTGTGAACAATACTCTTAAAATTTTAAGAAGCCCATCGGTTTTCTTTTTTTTTTTTTGAAGAGAAGGCAAGAAGACGGAAAAAGTACACCGAAGGTCCCTCAACTTGTCATCGAGTTACAAAATCGTCCCTCAACCGCAAAACCAGATATCCGGCATCCCTTAACTAATCGAAACCGGTCACAAATTCACAATAGATCCCTCAGTGATTTTGACCCGGTTTTATCCTACGTGACGGCTAAGTCAGCGTGGGATCCACGTGGACCCCATATGTCAGGATGCCACGTCATCCCTCCCCTGCCTCTTCTCTTCCTCGGTTCCTCCTCTCTCTCTTCTCTCTTTTTTTCCGGCGAGAGAATGCCGCGGAAGCAGAGCACTAGCACCACGCCGATGGCCGAAGCTGGAGGAGCTCCTGCGGCTGCCCGCCTCGGTCAAGCGATTTGGAAGGGATGGAGGAGGCGACGGGCGCTGGAGATGTGGGGCCGTCTGATGGTGCTCCGCTGCCGGTGGTGAAGACGACGACATAAGGCGGGAATGCGGCGGCGGCGGCGGCGGCGGCGGAAGGAGCTCCTCCAGCTCCGGCCGGTGAAGCATCTAGGCCCCCGTTGTTAGTTTTGGTAATTAATGACAAGCACTAATTATGGACTAACCGTTGTCTTTGAGCTATATATTTTAAGTTAGGTCCACGCCATATGTGCGCATGAATGATTATCGATGGATTAAAATTGACGGCGCAAAGCAAAGAGAAAGAAGAAGGTAAAACTAGTGCTTTAATTTAGAATTGATCGAGGTGTAGGACGATCAAATTTGCTAGTTTATTTTTTAGTTTCACCGTACTATTAAGAGGGGTAATGACCTAGCAAAGAGATGATTTTAATTGCCACATTAGGTCATTATGCATTTAGACTTGTGCTCGCTTTTCATCACACACACACAATCACTTGGGATTTCACTAGGTTCGGCCTGACCAGGGGCGGTCAGACCGGCCACACAGTGGCGGTCTGACCAGCGTGCCCTGGCCGGTTTGACCGGCGCATAAGGCCGGTCTGACCGGCGGCACATGCGCGGTCAGACCAGCCCCCTGGAGGCCGGGATGGTGCTGCTAGGGATGGCCGATACAGAGCCGAGGGAGCCATATTCGGTCAGACCGAGCCGATGGCGGTCTGACCGAGCCAAGGCTGGTCTGACCGGCCACTCAACCTCGGTCTGACCGGCCAGGCCGATGGGGCCCTCTGACAGCGCTACAACGGCTAGTTTTCTAGCCGTTGCAGAGTAGCACGGTCTGACCGGCCACATACCTCCGGTCAGACCGGCAGAGCACAAAGTTGGGGGATTTCGCCCCCAACGGCTAGTTTTGGTTGGTGGGAGTATAAATACTCCCCCTCCAGTAGCAAGGGGGCTCTCTTGGCATCCAATTCAATTGCATACACCCCTTGCACCTCTCTCACACCCACTTGAGCTTTGTGTTCATCCATCTAGTGTGTTAGAGGGTTGATTAGCCAAGAGTCAAGTGCGTTGCTTCCATTTGTAGAGCTAGTGTGGCACTTGATTGATCATCTCCACGCCGGGTCATTGCTTGTTACTCTTGGAGGTTGCCGCCTCCTAGACGGCTTGTGGAGGAGTTGCCCGGTGACCTCTCCGAGAAGATTGTGGAGGAGGCCCGTCGCCGGTTTGTGAGTGGTTTGGAGTTCACCACCTTCGGAGTGAAGGAAGAACTACCCTAGTGATCGAGGCTTGGGTAGTCCTCTCTGTGGGCCGGCTCCCGCCTTGCCCACCCCTTGACGAAGGGGGCGTGCGGTGGCTTCGTGGTTGAGCGGTGGAGTTGGGCTCGCCTCAACGGGGAGTAGGAAACCGGCGAGTTTCTGAACCTCGGTGAAAAATCTCTTGTCTCCTTGTCTCATTTACTTGTTGCATTTACATTTGTGCAATTTACATTTCTAGAGACATACTAGAGATCTTTTCACCCTAGGTTTGCTAAACATTGACATAGGAGTGTGATTTACTTTCCTAGTGATATAATTGAGCCACTATCACCCTAGGTTTGCAAAACATAACTTAGTTACTTAGTTAGAGTTGACCCTCACCAAGCCTAGCAACTTAGTTTAGTTTTGATTAGGTGTCATTTAGTTTTAAATCGCCTATTCACCCCCTCTCTAGTCGACATCTCGATCCTACAGCCGGCCACCGGCGTGGTGCTCGTACCCGCACGCACCACCTGCACACATACCATCCGCGGTTAATCCCATCGACCATCGAACACCATCCCATGGCCATGCATGCATATGCTGATATGCACTTGTTCCAACATTATATATTCCATTAGATTGTGTCTTGCATTATGCATGATGATGCATTGCCGATTTACCGTGCAATGGTTGACACAATGCGATTCTAGAGGAAATGGAGTAGACGACGGCGACGTACCCATGGTGCCGGAGCCGTCGGCGCCGCCGTACAACGTGGCGGTGCCCGGGAACCAGTCCGACCTCGCCGGTGCAATGCAGAGTGCAAGAATGGCGAGCAGGTGCTGGACAATGTTCCCGACATGATCTAGTCCTGTAGCTAGCTTGGTCTCCTGTGCAGGTAGATGGGTCATGTATAGTCCGATGGGGAATAAAACACATTAAGGTTTGCGTCCAAACTTGCCGACTAAGAGCTCGTGGCGAATGCCCTTGGTGAAGGTGGCGATGATGACGTCATCGGTGATGTGGGAGATCTTGTTGCGTTGCTCGGAAAAACGTCGGATGTAATCTCGGACGGATTCTCCGGACTTCTGGACAACGTTATAGAGATCGAACTGAGTACCAGGGCATTCAAAGATGCCCTGGAAATTGGCGATGAAGTGGTCGCGAAGTTCCGCCCAAGATCCGATTGTGCCACGGGGTAGCTCGTGGAGCCAGGACTGGGCATAATCCGCTAATGCTACGGGCAGATAGTTTGCCATAGCTTTGCTGTCTCCTCCTGCTGCGCGAATTGCAAGACCGTAGACGGTGAGCCAAGACTCAGGGTTAGTGGTGCCGTCATACTTCTCGATTCCAGTCGGCTTGAAGCCGGCCGGCCAATCCACTCGACGCAGGTCGCTTGTGAAGGCAGCAATTCCATCCACATCGTTGTCGTAACGATCTGGTGAATGGGGGACGTAGCCTCTTTGCCGTGCGGCGCTGGTTGATAGTTTCGCGAAGATCGACGGGGCGCCTGCGATGTGGGGAGCGAGGTCGTTCAACCCGACGCTCCCTGTGTCGTTCGGGAGGCGAGTGAACAGATCGCTCGTCGTGACCCCTGCTCCTGCGACTGGATCCCGCGCCGACGACGCTGAGGCTTGGTTGGTGATAGTCTTGAGATCGAAGAGGGGGAACTCGGCTGCCAGTCGGCGTGCGGACGCTTGCAGAGTTAACCGGGACCGAGGCGGTGATCATGGTCTTGATCTGGTTCAAGATGTTGACGACGTGATTGGCTTGATTGAGTGCGTCTTCCTTGAGGAGGGTGTCGAGGAGGGTGATCGCTGCAACCGCGTTCTTTTGAGGGGTGCGAAAAACCGTCGTTCCCTCGACGTCTTGCTGCCCGATAAGTTCTCGTGCTAGTCGCCTGGCATCCAAGGCGTGCTGTCGCCGGTCCTCAGCCTCTTTTGCAGCCCGTTCGCGTTCCTGTTGCTCACGCTGCAGCCGTTCTCGCTCTTGTGCTTGGCGCTCCTCTTCCAGTCGGCGTCGTTCGGCTTCCTGTTGCACGCGTTGTTCTTCTACTTCTCGGGCTTTACGCTGTTCTTCCATCTCGTTGTCAGCCATGAAAATGCCAAAGTAGAGAGGCGTGTAGTTATCTTCAAAGTCTTCGTCGAAGTCGTCGAGGTTGCGGTAGTCGTAGCGGTAGCCGAAGTAGTCGTACTCAATGATCTCCGTTGGCCGTGAGTCGACGCCGGGGGAGCTGAGGTAGCCATCCAGTTGTTCCGTCGAAACCGTGCCGAGAGGATGGAGTATGATGCCGACTTCCCTGGAGCTAGGCTGGATCGGGGCCGAGGCCGGATCCGGCCTAGTCCTACGGGGAGAAGACGCCCTTGTGGTGAAGACAGCAGCCAAATCGTCGGGGAGTTTCATCAGGATTGGCGGATAGGCCCCATCGTCTTGATCGGGCCGTGTTAGAGTAGATTGGATCTCGTCCGAGTGGTTTGAAGCCAACTCGGGGGAGATGATCTTGGGGTAGATCTCGGCCAAGTTCGGGATACCGAACGGGGCGGAGATCTGGCCTCTTCCCGACTGGTTCGAATCCGAGTCGAGGAGAGAAATCTTGCCGAAGTCGTTGGTGATGAAGTCGAGGCTGCCGAACCAGAACGCCTGCCGGGAGGGAAGACGAAGTCGTCAACGCCGGAAACGAAACCCATCGCACTAGTCTGCGAAGAATTTGACGCTCCCCCTACCTGGTGCGCCATTATGTTTCTCAGAAGACCGGTGACAGCTGTATCGATGAATGGCGGGTGCAGGAAGCAGAGCACGAGCACCACCACCACGCTGGTGGCCGGAGCTAGCTGGAGGAGCTCCTGCGGCTTCCCGCCTCCGGTCAAGCGAGCTGGGAGGGATGGAGGAGGCGACGGGCGCCGAAGATGTAGCGCCGTCTAATGGTGCTCCGCCACCGGTGGTGAAGACGACGACGGAAGGCGGGAATGCAGCGGCGGCAGAAGGAGGATGAGGACCGGAGCTGTCGTCACTCCTTGCGACGATAAGGATGGCCTCGAGTCCGCCGAGAGCGGCGGCAAGGCTCGTGAGTCCACCTCTGCGCCCATTGCCGCAGCGCCCGGCCCGCCGCCGCTCGTCGCCGGCCTCCCAGCTCCTCCCCCACCGCCCGCGCGCCGCTCCTCCCCTGTCGCCCGCTGCCGCCACATTCCCGCCTTCCGTCGTCGTCTTCACCACCGCCGGAGCACCATCAACGGCGCCACATCTCCGGCACCCGTCGCCTCCTCCATCCTTCCCAGTTCGCTTGATTGGAGGCGAGCAGCCGCAGGAGCTCCTCCAGCTCCGGCCACCGGCGTGGTGCTCATGCTCCGCTTCCGCAGCATTCTCTCGCCGGAAAAAGAACCAAGGAAAGTAAGAGAGAGAGAGGAGGAACCAAGGAAGAGAAGATGGAGGGGAGAGATGACGTGGCATCCTGACATGTGGGGCCCACGTGGGTCCCACGCTGACTCAGTTGTCACGTAGGATAAAATCGGGGTCAAAACCACCGAGGGATCTATTGTGACTGGTTTTGATTAGCTAAGGGACACCGGATATCTGGTTTTGCGGTTGAGGGATGATTTTGTAACTCGATGACAAGTTCAGGGACCTTCGGTGTACTTTTTCCCAAGAAGATTGCCTTATATGGCACAATTCAGTTTTCAGCCCAATATGAATTTGGCACATAAATGAACGGGCCCATGTCTACGGGTGCGACACCAGAGAATTGGCAGTTAACTGGAAATTCCACCTGTACAGTGAGCACCGAAAAAATTAGAGAAGATTTAAAGCAAAGATCACAGACATTGAAATCGAATTCAAAGGAGGATCATCTGGCATAGTTGGGACTTGGGATTTGTTAGATGCTAGCATGCAGCGGGGGCATCGCTCCGTTTCAGAGTGAATAACTAGCAGAAGGCGAGCTATATAGAGCTGGATGCATCATCGGATCTTAAAAAATAAAAACCAGTTTCGGTTTATAATCCAACGTGGTGCCAAGCAAGCACACACGGAAGCAAGTGTGATTGTTAACCAACCAAATCTGCCAAGACAGAGATGATGCATTCTGGGTAACATCAGAAAAGGTTGTATAGATGCAAAACAATGGTTGTTAGCCTCTGTTATAGCCTACCGAACTTTCCAGTGTAACGAACTGGAGTGGTTGGTTCGTGATCATCCTATCTATAAACCGTTGTATGAAGATATAATTAATTAAGTTGCTCGTTTTTGCCATTTGAACTCATATAATAATAACTCAAAAAGTCAATCACACAAGAATCCAAGTTTAATTAATACAGAAAAAAAACCCCAAGTAATTAAATCTAAGTGACACGAAAATATCAGCCCACCAAGAGATTATAATTATAGAACACGATCGATGGATCCCCAAATCCCATCTCGCGAGCGAGCGAGCGATCAGCTGACGCTGGCGACACAGTTCGTGCTCTTGCTCTGCACGGTGGACAGGGCGCTGACCTCCAGCGTGATGGAGCAGTTCATCTTGATGTCGAGGTTCCTCTTGTAGATCCCCAGCACGTTCACCCTCCCGCTGATCTCCGTGTAGCTGGTGAGGTTGTAGCCCTGGCCGAAGATGAGGTCGGTGGCGTTGACGTTGGGGGAGATGCGGTCGGCGAGCACGTCGAGCGTGACGTTCATCCGCACGGTGCTGTCGGCGCCGACCTCGCCTTCGGGCGCGTACGCCACGCCGACGGTCTCCCCGGCGTAGTAGAAGTCCGTCTCGCTGCGGTCGAACCGGAACGACGCCACGTTGGGGTTCCGGAGGGAGACGTCGGCGTTGAGCGTGGCGTTCACGGACACCGGGTGCCTCGACGTGCCGAGGTCGCCGTCGAGGCCCTCCAGCGTGACGCGGTTCATGGTCAGCTCCGGGTCCTTCACCTTGAACACCGTGAGCGCCAGCACCAGGATGACGATGCCGACGACGACCGCCGAGGTGACGCAGCAGCCGCCGCACCAGATCACGCAGCGCCGCCTGCGGAGGTACTGCGGGGAGCGCGGGCGCTTGTTGGCGGCGGTGTCCCCCGCCGCCGCCGCCGCCGCGCGGGCGGCCTCCTCGTCGTCGTTGGCCGCCGGGTGGACGGACGGCGACGGGAGCGCGAGCGGCCTCGCCGGCTCGTTCTTCTCGGCCTCGCCGTACGGCCCGACGGTCGCCATGGCGCGGAAGCAAGCTTAGCTTAGCTTAGCTGATCTCAGGTAGTCAGGTGGGCGATGGCGCGCGGCGATGCTGGTTGATTCGTTTGGCGCCGCGTGTGGCGGTGGTCTTATACGGTGGATTTTTACGCCTGGTCTTTGTGGGCGGGCTAAGCTACGGTGCGTGTGGCGCGCGCGGTCGTGACGGAGCGGAGCGAGCAAACACGGGCGAATGCTTGACCTCGCCATCCGTGGGTTGCTGCTTAATAAAATTGGGGGTTTCGGCTGACACAAATTGACTTGCGGACTTCCAGGTCATCACTCTTGCAGTCTCGTTCGAACCTTTTTGCAAACACGATTTGTAGAAAACCAGTGGAGTTAGCGATACATACACGTCAGGTAGGGCACTAGCATATGGCTAAAAAAATACTTTTGTATTTATCTCCGTGCGAGCGAGGTTATATAAGTTTGCAATCTATGGTTACTCTTTTTGTTCAAGTGTTTGGTGCTGCTTTTTTTTTTAAGATAAATGATTTAGCTCTGCTTGGCGTAACGGAAATCAGAATTACCATTTGGTGTCTGGCTGGTAAATCTCCATGGAGCGATACGTACTAGAAGGTTGCGTTTAACAGTGACACCTGACACGTACTATGTTCTGCACGACGAAATTTGTGAACCGACAAGGTGAAGGGGACATGGGTGTAGCCCGCAGGGTAAACTGCGAGGCTGTTTGGTCGCAGAAAGGATGCGCTTTTCGTCAACAAACCCCAATTAGGAGGCTTATTTGTTTGACCTTAAGCACTTGACTTGGTACACTCTTATGAGCTATTTTGCTCTTCATGCTCCCATAATACGTACGCAATTTTTATCTGGTGTAATCTCCCAATCTCGTAGGCTCTCACAGAAGCCGGATCATTTTAGGTAGTCCCTTTTATAAATGATCATATTTCTTAACTCCCAAATCTCAGTGCGCGATACTCCGATAATATACGCATTTTCTTTCTCTAGCGTAATCTCCTCAATCTCAACTCGGGACAAGCCTTAACACTGCTGACTGCTGTACGCCGTTTTTCCCCCTACGGGCACATGGATGCTTTTTATTGAGCAGTGCAAGGTTACATGATTTATTCTCTGGCTCCACATTTCCACAGCTTAATTGTTGTGCTAGTCGGTCTGTAGGATGAGATTTATGTCGTGTAATCTTCAAACACGACGGGAAGGTAATATTAATCAGTCAATTTTCCGACTTAATTCTTTATAGATAGCAAAGATCATAAAATAATACTTTTAAATCCATTGACCCAACTTGTAGGGTATCAGGTAATCTTCAAACACGACGGGAAGGTAATATTATCAGTCAATTTTCCGACTTAATTCTTTATAGATAGCAAAGGTCATAAAATAATACTTTTTAAATTCCTTTACCCAACTTGTAGGGCATCAGGAGATCATATAAATTATGTTTCACATCGTGGTGATACAATCATACAAACATAAATAAATGGATATATGCAAATAATCGCGTCAACTAGAATCAACTTATCCCCTTTTCCTCATATCAACTAGCAGGGCATCAGATATTGAAACTGAATTCTCCGATGGACTTGCTTAAAGTTTTGACGCCATAACATATGTCTGCTCATCATGTTTGTCAGGAAGCCAGGGTGATAGTGCATCTACCAGCCTTTTGATGTCATCCAAGGAATGAGAAGCGCTTAGAGTTATTCGCAACCTGGCAAGAGATTGATGGAAACCAAAACATTTAAGCTTGGTTGATACAAGTCCTAGCTCGTTTACAATATTGATCAAAATAGGACTCATACAGTACAACAAAACCTAGCAGGGATACCATCTACAGAGAGCACAGTGCCGTAGTACAAGAAACCATATTAACTAAAGCAATGTATACCCTGAGCTCTACTTCAATTACTCAGTTTATGATCCCTAATCAACACCGGTTGTGATTTTTTTTTCTTTTTGTATAAATTGACACAGGGATGGAAAATGACAGGAAAAGAAATACTACAACCTGCACGAGTTTTGTGGTACTGTGGGTGGTCGAATTGGTGTAACATGAAATCCAGATCTTAGCATATGCCTGAAGATTTATACGAAAAGATTAGAAACTTTAAACAAATAAGACTAGCAATATACAAAAATGGAAGAAATGAGAACCTGCCAGCCCTAAGTGCTGCTTCTTCGCTTCCAACTACTATGGAAATTATGGGACTAGTTAAGTCGAGTTTGGTCAAAGAAGCAAAATACTGCACATGCCTCCAGATCACTGATCTCCGCCATCTCTCCTTCTTTGAGACATGGAGAGCAGCTGAAATAATTAGAAAAGATTTCAGTTACTTAACCATACCATACTCTACAATGAACTATTATCTTAATGATATGCACAGGTGTTTTTATTGAAATCTTCATTCTTACTAAGCGACTAATGTGAAATTAATATGGTAGCAATGCTTATGCCTTTTACCCTCAAATGAAATGTTGGTGCTATAATTTAATATTCGATGTGAGTATTACCATACACAGAGGCAACTACTGGAACTGGCAAAGCAGTTGAAAATATGAATGAGCGGCCACGCGATTGAATTAGCCTCTTCCATCGGTTGCTGCACAACAAATTTCAAATAATTGCTCATTAAGTCAGAAACTATCACAGGAGATTCTGCACCCAAAGTACAAAGAAGCGATGTGATGTTGAGCGTTCACAATCTATGTGGACAATACATTTTGACTGTGTATAAGGTTAAATATTTGCATGACAAGTTATAACCCAGTTACCCAGATGACGTCAGCAAAGAGCATGGTTGCAAAGCTCTCATAAATCAGAATGGCAACAGATACAGGTGTATCAAAGTGTTTGGAATTAAAAGATACACTCTGATCCAATGATCCAAGCGTATGCTCCCACACTCCTATTGGCTTTGATAATTTGATGGGCACATTGCTCAGTTCATATGTTTGCAGTAATATCTGTCCAACTGTCTCAGATATTCTGTGCATATGCACTCCTTTATTTGTAAGAACTAAGAACACATGCTTCACTCCCGGAGTATATATATATATATATATATATATATATATATATATATATATATATATATATATATATATATATATATATATATATATATATATATATAATACAATTATGCCAGCTCTTTCCTTGGTATATAATATGGATATGGCATGATAATAGATTACCTGCAAACTATAAAACCACCCTGGCAGCCAGCAGCCTTACTTAGGGTACCAACGCTTATGTCAATGTCATTTTCGCATCCAAACAGCTCGGGTGCACCACCACCATTCTCGCCACAAACAAGTGTTCCATGTGCCTTCAAAACAAAAATTGCAATATAACTTGATCACTATCAAGGCCTATAAAAATCTACTTGAGAGGAGATAAAATACTAACATCGTCGATGACCAACAAAAACCCATACTTTCTGCGTAATTTGACAAGTTCTGGTAATGGAGCAAAATCACCATCCATGCTAAACAGGCTGCATTTTTTATCAACAAAAATTAGCTTCAGAGTTCAGAATTTGATACTCTGATACTATGCACATGCAGACAAGTCAATTTACTTGGAAACGTTACTTGCCTATCTGTGACAACAACTTTCTTTTCAATTGAGCAACTGGACCTGCACATGTATTCATTGATATGGTTAATAGATAAATCAGTTGGTTGCTAATTTATGTATGTTATGGCAGGAAAGTGAAAAGCATACAGTAGGAAATCAAGATGATGCATGTCACAGTGCTTGTAGACAAATGCTACTACTTCTTGCTGTCGCTCAACAAGGCGAATTCCATCAATGATAGAAGCATGGTTGAGAGCATCCGAGAAAACTGCAATTCTCTCACCCTCTGCAGGTTTTCTCCCAACAGACAAAATAGAGCTCACACTTCCCAGAGCAGTCATCACAGCCATGTTGGCAGAAAATCCTGTTGGGCAAAGAAGGCAATCCTGTAGAAGAACTCTGTAGTAAGGATGCATAGCTTAAAAAATGATGGTCACTTCATATAATTTCTGCAAACACAGGTGTTCACGTAAAATAAAATATGATACTGGACCTCCTTTTTCTTCAACTCTGCCAAAGATTCCTCCACCAATTTGTGATAAGTAGTATAGCCACATATCAAGGCAGAGCCCCTAGGTCCCATGCCGTACTCTTGAGCTGCCTAGCAAAGAGACATGATGTTAGTAAAATCAAACAGAAATTATTTTCTTAAATATAGAAAATCAAACAGTAATGCAGTATGCAAGAAACTCGATAGACCAAACGATGGCTAGAGGTACAGAATTAGCACACCTTCACTGCAGCCTTGCGGATTGCCGGATGGGAGCTGAGGCCCATGTAATCATTCCCGGAGAATAGAATGAGTTTCTCATCCACCTCCTCTTCTTGGCCAGTCGCTTCACCACCTAATCAAACCAAACTTTGCCATGAGCAAAGTCACTGAAAACCCAAATTCACAACGAAACAAACCAATATTTTTCTTGGAAATACGCAAAAGACTTGAGTATCTCTGTATTAAAGATGAACAAACTATATTTCGATGGAAGAGGTAAATTCATGAGCAATTTGCCTTTTGGAGGTCTTGAGCCCACGAATAATACTAAGTTACACGGAATTAGTAGTAGAAAGGGGTGAAAAGGGAGCTGAATTTTGACATGCATCCCTGCAGGGAAGTAGTAGAAGAAAAAACAGTTGGCAAGTACCTTCGGCGAGCCATTGGTGGAGGGTTGCGCGATCGAGCTGGATCTCGACGGCGGCGCGGTCCCATGGGCCAGGGCCGGCGAAGGTTTCAGGCGGCGCTGGAGGTGGCGCGAGGGCGATGGGACGCGTGGCTCGCAGGAGGTTCCTCGACGCCAGCCTTGCAAGCGCGGCGTCCACGAGCGCGTCCCACTGTGCCATTCCGTCGAACAGGAGGCGGGCGCTGCTTGCGCGGGCGGGACGGAGAAGCCGAGGCGAGGCCGCGACGCAAATGGTGCGGTCACGCACACCGAAGTGGACGCACACGGAGTAAATATAGCCTTACCCAGCAAATTTCCCGCCTTCGTCACCGGGAGACGGAAATGGTTCCCGCCTTCGTAGCTGGAAGACGTAAATAGTTAGACCACCTGAAAAGAAAAAGGAATTAATGAAGCCGAAAGAATCACAAGGCAAGTGACCAACCAGTGACCACACCGCAACTGAGATCTCTCTTCCAAAGGACGATGAAAGTGAGAGCTCCTGAGTCCTGAGCTAATGGAGTCCAAGCCCAGCCGCAACGTCGTGCTATACGCCGCCATGGGCGCGGGTCACCTGCTCCCCATGGTCGAGCTCGCCAAGCTCTTCCTCACCCGCGGCCTCGACGTCACCATCGCCGTCCCGGCCACCCCCGGATCGGGCACCACGGGATCCCCCACCATCGCCGGCATCGCCGCCTCCAACCCCTCCATCACCTTCCACCACCTCCCGCCGCCGCCGTCCTGCGCCGACCCCGATCCGAACCCCCTCTTGCTCATGCTCGACGTGCTCCGCCGGTCGGTGCCCTCCCTCGCGTCGCTCCTCCGATCGATCCCCTCCGTCGCGGCGCTTGTCCTCGACATATTCTGCGCCGAGGCAGTCGACGCCGCGGCGGCGCTCCACGTCCCCGCCTACATATACTTCACCTCGGCCGCGGGCGCCTTTGCCGCCTCCCTAGGCCTGATGCACCACTACTCCACGACTACCACCAACCTCAGAGACATGGGCAAGGCGCTCCTCCGTTTCCCCGGCGTCCCGCCGATACCGGCATCGGACATGCCGTCCCTCGTGCAGGACAGAGAGGGTCGGTTTTACAAGGCGCGGGTCAAGCTGTACGCGCGCGCCATGGAGGCGAGCGGCGTGCTGCTCAACACGTACGAGTGGCTTGAAGCGAGGGCCATGGGTGCGCTCCGGGAGGGAGCTTGCTCCCCGGACCGCCCCACCCCGCCGGTGTACTGCGTCGGTCCGCTGGTGGCGTCAGGCGAGGAGGAGGGAGGAGGGGTGCGGCACGCGTGCCTCGCGTGGCTGGACGCGCAGCCGGCGCGGAGCGTGGTGTTCCTCTGCTTCGGCAGCATGGGCTCCTTCTCGGCGGCGCAGCTGAAGGAGATAGCGCGCGGGCTCGAGAGCTCCGGCCACCGGTTCCTGTGGGTGGTGCGGAGCCCGCGTCAGGATCCGGCCAATCTGCTCGAGCATCTGCCGGAGCCAGACCTGGCGGCGCTGCTCCCCGAGGGGTTCTTGGAGAGGACGGCGGACAAAGGAATGGTGGTCAAGTCATGGGCGCCGCAGGCCAAGGTGCTACGCCACGCGGCGACGGCCGCGTTCGTCACGCACTGCGGGTGGAACTCGACGCTGGAGGGGATCACGGCGGGGGTGCCGCTGCTGTGCTGGCCGCTGTACGCGGAGCAGAGGATGAACAAGGTGTTCATCGTGGAGGAGATGAAGGTGGGCGTGGTGATCGATGGCTACGACGAGGAGATGGTGAGCGCGGAGGAGGTGGAGGCGAAGGTGAGGCTGGTGATGGAGTCGGAGGAAGGGGGGAAGCTACTGGAGAGGCTGGCCGTGGCGAGGGCGAAGGCCGTGGAGGCGCTCGCGGAAGAAGGGCCCTCGCGTGTGGCGTTTGACGAGTTTATCGATCGTTTGGTGACGTCCGAGTGATCAATCACTCATCGTTCGGCATTTGGGCGCTTAGCTTACCTTGTTTCCTAGAGGACCTGAGAAGATGATGCGGTTCGTGTTAGCGGACGACCGTGTTGGACTTGCACTCTGTGTGCTCCTGCGCCTTCTGCCCCGTTCATTCACAAATAAAAAAAGTTAGTATCTGTGTTCGCTAAATTACTTGATGAAGGTTGATTCTAGACTCCAGATTTGATGCTATGAGTTCCGACACGAGCGCCATCCTTGATGAACACATATATCCGCCCATGCCGTGCTGCCTTCCCTCTGCATTTGAGACCAACGGCAAACTTTGCCGTTGCTTTCCTGTAGGCCACCTATCGTGGATCAAGGGCCGCACAGCTTGGCCTCACCAGTGATTAATTAGCACCTAATCAATAGACCATGTGTCAAACAAAATCAGCGGCGGCGGAGTGCGCGGTAGAACAAAATAGATCAACTGCTTTAACTGAACAATATGAACAAGAGCCTTGGTAAATCATCTATCTATTATCTATTATATTATTAAAGAAATAGAAAAAGGAGCCTCTACATTCGCTCTCGTGGCCTAGAAATTCTCACATTAATCAGAGAAAAAGAAAAAAAAAGTAATAGCTGAAATTCGGAATTAAAAAATAAGGAATATTAGAAGAGAAGACTAGAGTCCATATAGAAATACAATTTAGAAATAGCTTAAATTCGGAATTAAAAAATAAGAAATATTAGAAGAGGAGACTAGAGTCCATATAGAAATACAATTAGAAAATAACTGAAATTCGGAATTAAAAATAAGGAATATTAGAAGTAGAAGTATAGAGTCCATATAGAAATACAATTAGGAAATAATAGAAATTCGGAATTAAAAATAAGGAATATTAGAAGTAGAGTATAGAATCCATATGGAAATACAATAAATAAAAAAATAGAAATTCGGAATTAAAAATAAGGAATATTAGAAGAGGAGACTAAAATCCATATAGAAATACAATTAGGAAATAACTGAAATTCGGAATTAAAAATAAGAAATATTAGAAGTAAATTCGGAATTAAAAATAAGGAATATTAGAAGTAGAGTATAGAGTCCATATAGAAATACAAATACAATTAAGAAAAAAAATAGAAATTCAGAATTAAAAAAATAAGGAATATTAGAAGTAGAGTATAGAGTCCATATAGGAATTTAAAACTAACTAAGATTCGGAATAAAAAAGAGCCTCCATGTTCGCTCTTATGACCTAGAAATTCTCACATTAATCGGAGAAAAATAAAAAGCAGAGTCCATACAGAAATACAATTTAGAAATAGCTGAAATTCGGAATTATAAAATAAGGAATAATAGAAGAGGAGACTAGAGTCCATATAGAAATACAATTTAGAAATAGTTGAAATTCATAATTAAAAAATAAGGAATATTAGAAGAGGAGACTAGAGTCCATATAGAAATACAATTATGAAATAACTGAAATTTGGAATTTAAAATAAGGAATATTAGAAGTAGAGTATATAGTCCATATAGAAATGCAATTAGGAAATAATTGAAATTCGGAATTAAAAATAAGGAATATTAGTATAGAGTTCATATAGAAATACAATTAAGAAAAAAAAATAGAAATTCGGAATTAAAAATAAGGAATATTAGAAATAGAGTATAGAGTCCATATAGAAATTTAAAACTAACTAAAATTCGGAATAAACATAATAAAATTAAAAGTAGTGTTTAGAGTCCGTATAAAAATACAATTTACAAATAACTAAAATTCAAAATTAAGGAAAACATGGGAAGAAGAGTTTAAAGTCAATATAGGAATACAATTTAGAAGTAACTGAAATTTGAAATTAAAAATAAAAGAATATTGAAAGATGAGTCTAGAGTCCACATAGAAATACAATTAGAAAAAATAAAAATTCAGAATTAAAAAAATTAAAAGACGAGTCTAGAGTCCATATAGGAACATATATAATTTACAAATAACTAAATTTTGATATTAAAAATAATTAATAACTAACACGTATATAAAATACAATATGAATATTATACATTAGTAGTTTCGTAAAGTTACTACAAAATTTAAAATTATGTTGTCATTGTAATATATTTTAATAATATAATGAGAAAACATATATGCTATTATATGAGAGAAAATATAATGATACTAGCTACGCAATCTGCGCGGGCCACCATGCTAGTTATAATATTTAAGGAATAGAAAAAGGAGCCTCCACGTTCGCTCTCATGGCCTAGAAATTCCCAGATTAATCGGAGAAAAAGAAAAAACAGAGTCCATATAGAAATACAATTTAGAAATAGCTGAAATTTGGAATTAAAAAATAAGAAATATTAGAAGAGGAGACTAGAGTCCATATAGAAATACAATTTAGAAATAGTTGAAATTCGGAATTAAAAAATAAAGAATATTAGAAGAGGAGACTAGAGTACATATAGGAATTTAAAACTAACTAAAATTCGGAATAAACATAACAAAATTAAAAGTAGTGTTTAGAGTCCGTATAATTTACAAATAACTAAAATTTGAAATTAAGAAAAACATGGGAAGAAAAGTTTAAAGTTAGTATAGGAATACAATTTAGAAGTAACTGAAATTTGAAATTTAAAATTAAAGAATATTGAAAGATGAGTTTAGTGTCCACGTAGAAATACAATTAGAAATAATAAAAATTCAGAATTAAAAAAATATATTAAAAGATGAGTCTAGAGTCCATATAGGAATATATATAATTTACAAATAATTTCAATTTGATATTAAAAATAATTAATAACTAACACGTATATAAAATACAATATGAATATTACACATTAGTAGTTTCGTAAAGTTATTGCAAAATTTAAAATTATGTTGTCATTTTAATATATTTGAATAATACAATCAGAAATTATATGAGAGAAAATATAATGATGTTAGGTGCGCAATCTGCGCGAGCCACTATGCTAGTTTTTATATAAAAGAAGCTAGTAAAGGCATAGGAGTACTACTATCAAAATATGAACAACATCATAGGTAGCGAATATGTCTAGATAAAAGATAAAATTATAGGCTTAAAAAGAATAAAAGTGGAAGGTACAATATGGTGACAGATCAAATAAAGATAATTTGTCTTACATCATTTATCTGATATGACCGCAATCAAGATTATTTGGCTGCTCCATCGATGAAGGAAGAGATAAGTTCACTTTAGGTCTCTCAACTTGTCGCCGAATCTGAAATTCGTCTCTAGACCAAAATACCAGATATAATGATTCCTTCAATTTACAAAACCGGATCTTCGGAGGTCCTAGGCAGTATTATACCCGGTTTTCGGTGATGTGACAAGCCAAGTCAGGGTGGGGCCCACATATCAGTGGCCAGTATTTTCTTCCTCCTCTCTCTCTCCACCTTCTCTTCTCCTCTCTTTCCAATCCACAGGGCGTGCCTGACGGGGAGGACGGCGTGACGGGCGGAGGTGGCTCAGCAGCGGAGGATCCCCCCTCCCGCCGTCACCACTTTGATTGGCAGGATGGCCGACGATCAGACCGTCGGCGGCTGTGGCTCGTCCGGTGGCAAGGGCTCGTCCCACACGTCGTCACGACATCATCAATTTTCGCAACCTTGTCAACCGGATGGCAGAGAGGGGGAGACGGGGAAGCTGAGGGCGGCAGAGAGTCCCCGGCCTATCTGCCCCCTTCTTCGACCGACCTCCCCACCGATCGTCGAGCTTGGTGGAGCCCGAGCCCATGGCAGCAACCGTCGGCGACGTTGCTTGGACTGCTTGAGGTACGGCCTAGCCCATTGAAGACAGAGGCAGTGGCGGTGGCGTGGTGGTCACTTGTGTCTGTGCCTGTGGCGGTGAGCGATGGCGGCATCACGGTTGTTGACATGGGGTTGGTGGATGTGCACGTCGTTGTGGGCTTCTCGTGTTTGGTGATGTCTGGCTCGTCGGCGGGGACGAACTCACGGAGGAGCAGGAGGCTAAGTGATGGCTCTGGCTCTAGCTCCGGCGGGTCTGGCCCCTGGTGGGAGGCGATGCAGCGGCTTGGGCTCGGACAACGACACCCACCTACGAACTCCGCCATTGGTGTCGATGGGGCTTCGACGCCACCATAGGAGACATCCCTAGAGATCTTGTCAGCGCCGTCTCCTCTCCCTATCTATTGTTGTCATGAGTAGTGCTCCCTATCGTCATCGCTGGCTCCTTCGCTGGCCCTGCCATGGCAGTGGCAGCTTGAGCAGCGAAGCGAATCAGAGGTCGGAGGAGGAATATGGTGGCCGTCAACGTAGAAGATGATGACGGTGGCGGCGGGGAGGGGGGGTCAAGGGTATGGCATAGGAGTAGGCAGCGGTGGTAGGGTCGTTAAAGGGGATGAGGTAGCGTTCCTCACGCCCGCGAGCAGTGTTGGCGCCGCCTTCATCTCCACCCCTTCCCTAGCCGACGATGGGAATGGACGAGAGAGATAGGGAGAGAGAGAGGAGGTTGGAGGTGGAGAGAGATCTAACATGTGGGTCCCACTCACCATGTTGGCCAAAACTGTGTCCTATACTGCTTGGGAAGTTTAGTACACCGGTTTTGCTTACTGAGGGACTCGCTGTATTGTTGCGGGTTGAGGATGACATTCAAACTCGGCCACTTGAGGAACCGAAAATGAACTTATTTCCACTATTAGTAACCCCAGCAAACTCGGCGGCCCGTCTAATCCCAGACGAGCCCACGTACAAGACAAGCGCGTGGGTGGTGCAGGCAGGCGTCGTGGAGCACATGATTTACACATATCGTGGTCCATTCTCGGCAGACGTCAGATTTCTGAATGTTTTCGATGCCGTTGCCTCTCACTGCCTTACACATACATCAGTGCGAACTGGTGCTCTCACCAAAAAATGAAAAAGGGAAATTGGTCCAGTCGAGACTCGAGACACATTACAGGGCTGTTTGGTTCACATACTAACATTGTCTAGACTTGCCATACTTTCTTAGCTAAATTTCCCAAAGGTGAGGCCATCAAAATCCAAGCCATACTCTAGCCACCAAAATGAAACCATGCCACACTTTTTAGAGTCACTTACATGTGGGACCTAGATTACAAAAGAGGAATCTTACCACACTTGTGGGAGCTAACCAAACACTCACCTCACATGGTCAAACTTGCCTAACCTCAAGTGTGGCAAAGTGTGGTAACTTATGGCCATCAACCAAACAGCCTCTACAACTTACA